TTGAACTTGTTTTATTTATGGTATAGAAGGAATAAAGAAATATCTGATGACCATAAACGCACTCTGTGCTGGAGATATTTAATGCAAGCATGCTAGGGTTATCAGAGTAATTCTGGCCAGAGGGATCTGAGTGGGAATGAGATATATCACCTCCAGATCTGATTATAAAAACACCTGAACGGTCCTGTAGCTTTCTCAATGGTGACTCTGAGAAAAGCATGTTGGCATGATGGAACCAAGATATAATCAGCCCATGGCACTGCACAAAGAAGAAGTGATGTGGAGAGTGGTCCAGCCAGTATTAACTTTGTGTGAGTGAGATACGAAACCTGTATTATTTAAAGAGTTATGCTAAGTGAAATGAAACAAAGAAAAATACTGTATGATCTTGCTTATATGTGGAATCTAAAAAAAAAATAAACTCATAGACACAGAAAATAGATTGGTGGTTGATAGAGATGGGGGGCTGAAATTGGTGGAGGATGGTTAAAAGGTGCAAACTTCCAGTTTTAAGGTAAATAAGTTCTGAGGGATGTACAGTAAAGCATGATGATGTGACTATATGTAACCATACTGTATTGTATATTTGAAGTGGCTAGGCTATTAGATCTTAAACATTCTCATCACGAGAAAGAGAAATTGTAACTATGTGAGGTGATGGACATTAACTAAATTTGTGGTAATCAATTCACAATGTATACATATACCGAATCATGTTGTATACTTTAATACAGTGCCATGTCAATAAAAAAAAATGGGAAAAAAAAGCCTCCCTCTGAGCTTTGAAGATTTGTTTGTTAACACAATATAATAGTCTATCATTTTCTGATAAATATAGAAATTGACGTGTGAAATGAGGAATTTAATTTTCCTCAATGATTCAGTAGTTGAACACTGGAGAAGCTCCTATTAAAGACTCAGCCAGTAGTTAGCACTTCCGCTTCTGCCCAAGATGGAGTCAAAAGACCAGATTTACCTTCCCACTTAAAACAATAAAAACAAAATATGTGAAAAAGCAGGTGTGAGCACACATAACATCAGGCAAAGAAAGACCAGTGCTCCTGACAGGGGCAACCACTAAGGTAAGCCTCAGCTTACTTCCTTGAGAGAATTTTCAGTCTATAAAAGAGTAGCAGGTGAGAGAGATTTATATAAAAAAAGAAATCCAAAGATGTTCAAAGGGTCCTGCTTGGATATTTGACAGAGTAGTAATTAGCACATGCATGTGAGGAACCTACCCAAGACCAGGGAATGAATCACTCAAAAAGATAAGGGAAATATTACCTAATGCTCACCCAGTCCTGGGAATAGTGCCTCTTCTCACTAGCCAGACTGGAAAAACTTCATAATCTTGGGAATTGTGTAGAGTAGTCAGAAGGATCTTGGCTTAATTGTGGGAGATATTTATTCCTAGCCTAAACTACTGCTTTTATCCAGTCCAACAAATCTTAAAAACAAGGCTCAAATGGACCAAAATTCCAAGTAACATGAATGAATACCAGGAAAAATGTCCAGAATATTTATAGAAATACAAAAATAACCATCACCCAACAAGGTAAAATTAGCAGTATCTGGTACCTGGTAAGAAATTATATGCATAGAGAGATGCAAGAAAATACAGCCCAAAATGAGCAGAAAAAATCAATTAATGGAAATCCAACCAGAACTGACACAGATGTTAAAATTAGTAGAAAAAGCAAGAATGAGAAAAAAAATAAAAAAAAATCAGTGAACTGTGGGAAACTTCAAATGGTATAATGTACATGTAATTGGAGTCTCTATTATTAGTAGACAATGGGTAAAATTTTTCTATTTTAATTAAAATCTGCAGATACAAAAAGTTCAATGAACCTTAGGAAACATGAACCATGAGACACTATGGCGCATCAAATTGCTCAAAACCAAGTTTAAAGAGAAATTCTTAAAAGCAGCCAAAGGAAAAATACATATGATCTACATGGGAACCAAGAAAATGATCCAGTAGATTTCTCATCACAAACAATGTGTAAGGAGATAGAAGATGGTGCAGCAACATCTTTAAAGTTCAACTTAGAAACCTACACATAGTGATAATATCTAGCAAAAATTAAGGAGACTGAAAGGTATCGAAAGATGCTAACTTCCAGTTATAAGATAAATAAGCACTATCCATATAATGTACAACATGATTGATGAGGAGAACAAAGGCAAAAGAAATGTAGATAAATTTAAATTTCCTTATGATTTGCAGCCCATCAATAAATACTTGAGACAGAGTATGAGATTCCTCTAAGAACTCAAACTGTCTTAATATTAATGCTTTGCTAGAGGCAGAAAGCAACCTTAGCTTGACAATAGCCAGATCTCCAGGATCTTGGAAATCTTCTTTAACAAATGAAAATCCTTTCGGAAACTTCCTTTGTCTTTACCACTCCCCGCTCTCCCCCCCATTTAGATGTATACAATCTAGATGTATTACAATCCTAGTCCTGCTCTTTCTGCCCCTGGGTCCTGTTCCTGTGATTTAATAAAAACACCTTTTTGCACTGAAAACATCTCAAGAATTCTTTCTTGACTATTTGCTCCTGGCCCACATCACATCATGATGATTATAGCTAACACTGCTGTATGATATATAGAAAAGTTAAGAGAGTAAATCCTTTGAGTTCTTGTCACAAGAAGAAAGTTTTATCCTTTCTTCTTCTTTTTAAAAATTATTTTAATGTTTATTTATTTTTGAAAGAGAGTGAGAGACAGAGTGTGAGCAGGGGATGGGGCAGAGAGAGAGGGAGACAGAATCTGAAGCAGGCTCCAAGCTCTGAGCCATCAGCACAGAGCCAGATGCTGGGCTCGAACCCAAGAACCATGAGATCATGACCCAAGTCAAAGTCAGACGCTTAACGGACTGTACTACCCAGGTGCCCCTTCTTCTTTTTAATTGTCTCTGTGTGAGAAAATGGACATTAGGTGAATCTCTTGTGGCAATGATTTCACATGACATGTAAAGCAAACCCTCATGCTGCATGCCTTAAATTTATACTGTGATGTATGCCAGTTATTTCTCAGGTCAACTGGAAAAAATATATAGTTAATACAATTGCATGATAGAGAAAAAAGTAAGGAGAAATACTTTTATAACATAAAAAGCTGATGTTATTAAAAACCAAAAGAGCAAAGTATAAGAAATGTTAATGTCCTTTAGGCAGAAGAAAAATGATACCAAGTGGAAATATGAACCTAAACAAAGAAATGAAGAGCACAAGAAAATGTAAAGGATTAAAATAACAAAAACTTTTACGTGTTTACAAACTCAAACTATAAAACAAGGTAAACGCAAAGAAGGCTTGTTTCCATTCAGGTCTTCTCCACCCTCTTCCTTTCTTCCTTTCTCCTTCAGCTACCTCTTTACATTTAAATTAATTTTATGTATATCCTTTTATTGTTTCTTTTGGAAAAGAAAGCCTATATATGTGTTTATAGAATGAACATATATGTAAATATATACACATATATTTAAATAGCATCTTAATGTCATGATATTCCTTAAAAAAAAGATATTCAAGTAAGTATGGAGAAAATACTGTATAGTAAATCCATGTCATTGATCACCCCAACCTATTAGAGATTAAAGTACATATTACATATTAAAATATTTTAACAATTCTGTATTAAAGAGATCAGTTTTTTGTTTTAATCCAGTGTTTCCTAAACCTATTTGAACCTCTTCCTGCTCAGAAAATCCTTTCCCATGAATAATGCAGTTTTGAATTATGCTATTTCCTGAATTGTGATTTTATAATACTTGCATTTTATGTATTTATTTATTAAAAAATTTTTAATGTTTATTTACTTTTGAGAGAGATCGAGAGAGACACAGAGGCATGAGCAGGGAAAGGACACAGAGAGAGAGAGAGAGAGAGAGAGAGAGAGGGAGAATCCAAAGCAGGCTCCAGGTTCTGAACTGTCAGCACAGAGCCCGAAGCCAGGCTTGAACCCATGGACTGGGAGATCATAACCTGAGCCAAAGTCAGACACTTAATGGACTGAGCCAACCAGGAGCCCCTACTTCCATTTTATTATCTGTTGGATAGAAAGGAAGAAAGCTGGAATAGTTATGTTTTACAATGCAGCTACATCTGCATAGCACATAAGCAAAACTATGCTGTCACGACTTATATTCATGGTTTCATAATGACATTTACATGTAAGAAAAAGTTACAATGCAAGAAAAATTTCCAGTAATAAAATTTATAGTCTGGCATTTGTTTAAAAATTGTAAATTCTATTAATTATTTTAATAATTCAATGTTCATGATGCTCATTCTTCAACAGAATACTCTTTTTGCCTTAATGTCTATATGATGGAAGTCTACAAAAGACACCATCAGTTCGATGCTTTTGGAATTAAACTTCACATAATATTTTTCATGGAAATGACAATCTGATATTGTTCAACTGCTGACTTCATTATTTACATCCTTGTAAAACATTTCTTAAAAATGAATACTACTCATGTAGTGATGTTTCATCCTTGAGTTCATAAAATATAAAAACAGGTAAGAGGACAAGGGAATATCCATACCTGTGTTCTTTTATATCTTGGTTATGCGTTTTGGGAAGTGCTAGCCAAAATAACAGGTCGGGTGGGGAAACCCGTGCGAAGTTGCCAAGTACATGGATTAAGCCCTAGCAATGAAGACCAAGCAACTCCCAGCACCATCTTTCCTAACTCACCACCCTTCATCCTCCACCCTCACCCCCCATTCCCCTTCCTCCACCCTAATCCTTTCCCCTCTTCCCGCCCTGCCACGAGAGCTAACCCTGGGCAAGATACAGCTTTAAGTTTTCCCTTCTCATCCACCCCTATCACTACCCTGGAGGATAGCCCAGCCAAGGTATGATTCTTAACTGCATCCTGAAGGTCCAGTCTGAACTCATATAAATGGGTCCATCACATTTATCCCCCAGTTACCTTAGGATGAACCAGGGAAATAAGATCCCAGCCCGGGGTTCTTTCTCACCATGTGTTTCATGTCCGCCGCGGGGGGCCAGACTTTGCCGCGCATTTCGTTGTGAGCCTCGACACTGTTGTCTTTAAATTTCTGGTCTGTGATGGAGGGGACTTTGGCAGACGATTTACTGGCTGCCAGACAGAGACCTAATGTCCATAAGCAACTCAATTTCTTCCGCAGAACCATAGCGGGATGCAGAAGATGCTCTGACTGCGTGGACCAGTAACGGCTCGGCCAGTCTTCCCTGGCCCCGTGGGGACCACGCTCTGCGGTGGCTCCATCCTCCAGCACAAGCTCGAGCTCAGCGCGGGGATGCTCGGCCGGCTACTCCCCGAGGGCAGGGCCAGAGCGCAGGGCATGGCAGGCAGCAGGAGTAGCCTTTGTCAAAGCGCTTCGCTACAGGAGAAAGCCTTGAGTCGCCGTCTGGTGCATAGTTTTAACCAGAACGCTTTCTGCGGACCCAATCCAGAGTCACTGCGGTGAGCGCCTCAATTTCGATCCAGATGGCAACATGTAGGCGGCCCGGTGTTATGTAAAAAGACAGTATGTATTAGATGCTCACAATGGACCAGGACCATTCCAAACCCTATCTTAAATTAACTAAAGTCTGTATTAGTTATACAGACTCGTTTTTCAGGTATAGCTTTTTTTATTGTTTTAAATAAACTGCAGCATCATACTGCCTATATCTCCTGAAAGTGGGAATAAGTCAAGAATAGGCAGCTTGTATACTGCACACAGTGTGATCCTAAATTATTTCTTTGTCAAACATTTAATAATTTGCATTTGTTTTCTCATTTGCTGACTGACTGCCTTGAGAGATAAAAATAGAGAGGTGTGGCTAAGTAGTTCCTCTTACATTCTTGATATTTGAGTTTGAAACAGACCTATGGTTTGGTTACTAGTAAACTTCAGATAAAGGAGCGCTTTAGTTGGCATCATTTGGCTTAATATTTTAAATCCATTATATCATTTGTTATTCAATAAGAAACCAGCATTTTTTTGTGTGACAACAAAATGGCATTTCCCAGTATTTCTGTGTTCAAATAAATATCTTTATTTGATGATTTGAAGTTGTTTATAGTGGCATTTAATTCACGTAAATACATATTTATATCTACTGACTATTCTAGTCGATAGATCTTGCCACTAAAAAAAACACTTTGATGTAACTAGTTGCCATTTTTCTAAAAAAATTAAATTTTTTTGAGAGAGACAGAGCATGAGCTGGGGAGGGGCAGAGAGAGAGGGATACACCGAATCCAAAACAAGATTCAGTCTCTGAGCTGTCAGCAGAGGGTCCCACGTGGGTCTTGAACTCAGGAGCTGTGAAATCATGACGTGAGCTGAAGTTGGAGGCTTAACTGACTGAGACACACAGGTGCTCCATTTACCATTTTTAATAAGTAAAAAGTAGGGATGCCTGGGTGGCTCAGTTGGTTGAGTGACTTTGGCTCAGGTCATGGTCTTGCACTCCACTTTGGGCTCATTGCTGTCAGAACAGAGCTGCTTCGAATCCTCTGTCTCCCCCTTTCTGTGCCTCCCCTGCTTGCACTCTCTCTCTCAAAAATAAATAAACTGTTTTTTAAAGTAAAAAGTAAAAAATTAGGGGGTGCCTGGCTGGGTCAGTCCATGGATCTCGGGGTCGTGAGTTCAAACCCCACACTGGGTGTAGAGATTACTCAAAAATAAAATCTTTAATAAAAAAGTAGAAAATTAAAATATAAAATGGGGAAAAAATACAAGGATCCTAATGGAAATTCTACCTAGCAGTAGAGAAAATATGTCTCGTCTATCTCTGCTGATGGAGAATTGTAATATATGGGACTAGCATTACTTACACAGTCCAAACTGAGCTTCCTACATCCCACACCCTAAAAACGGATCCTTCCACAATCTTCCCTAATCGCAGTTAATGACAGTTTCATTCTTCTGATTGCTCAGACCCCCACTTTGGAGCCAGGCTTGGTCCCTTGACAAATCCTGCTGTCTTTGTCTTTATATTTTCAGAACTTGACTACTGCGCAGCATTTGAAAGGGTACTCCTTGATTTCATGGATAATTGCAACAGCTTCCTGGTGGGGCTTCTTGCCCCTGCTCCTAACCTCCCATAATTTTTTCTCAAGGCAGCACCCACCACCCTGAAACCATATCACTCACTATAGCCTTCAAGGCCCTAAACAAGGAGACCTTTTCTGATCTCATCTCCTGCTTCTCTTCCCTTCCTTTTCTCTCCTCCAGATACTCTGGCCCCTTTGTTGTTCCTTAAAAAAAAAAAAAGGTATTGATGCCTCAGGGCATTTGCTCATTTCTTTTGCTTAGAACTCTTTCCCCCAGAAAGTTACAGGAATTGTTTACAACCTCTTTCAAGTATTTTCTCAAATTTCATCTTTTCAAAATACCTCACAGTGGTATTTTCCCTTACCCAGCCTATACCTATCACTCCCTTTTGGTTTGTTTTTCTGCCTTATATTTCCCCATAGCCCTTATCCTCATATCATATGTAACTTACTTATTTACATTAGCATTTCTTCCCGCAATTGAATGTAAGCCCCAAAAGCCAGGAATTGCTTATTATTATTTTTACTACTGTATCCCCAGCATCTCCACAAAGTTCCATATTTAATGAACAAATTAATAAGTGAATCCTTTAAGAGTCTAATCATTAGCTCCTTTTATGAAGTACTCCAATGAGAAGGAATTGTGTGTCATTAAATCACCTCATGATCCTATATTTTATTACTTTATTTCTATTTTCCCCTCGATGATAGTCAGGGTTACTAGAGAAACAAAACTAATAGACATATATTCCCACCCACTCTCTTTTACACACACACGTACACACATAGATTTTAATGAAATTGGCTCACACAATTATGGGTGCTAGAAAGCCTAAAATCTTTAAGGCAAGCTGACAAGCTGAAGATTCAGGTAAGAGTTGATGTTGGAGTCTTGAGTCTGAGGGCTAGAAACTCAGGAAGAATTTCTATGTTGCACTCTGGAAGCAGAATGCTCTGGGAAGCTTCTTCTTTTAGGCACTAATGGAGGCTTATCCAAAGAGGCATGATTGATTAACTCCTTCGTCATGGATGACTAATTCAACCTGTAGCCCCTGTTCCGCCTTAGGAGGCTTGAGGCTGGGATGGAAACTTCCAACTCTAATAACATGGTTGTCTCCTTAGGCAACTGGCCTCTTTACTTAGGTGCTTTCCAAGAGTCACCTCATCATCATAACAAAATAAGTTTCATTGTTCTCAGCATTTAAGAAGATACCTAGGGTTTTAGGAGCTCTGTGCCAGAAACCTGGAGGAAGATCAAATATATATTTCTTACCATAAATCATAGTATCACAGCCTCCCCTCTTTTCAAAACCCTCTAATGATTCTAGTCACATTTATAAAATCCAAAATTCTCGGTTTGCTTCAAAAGGCACTATATAATCTGACCATGGCTATTCTCTGCCCCCTGATCTACATTCTCCATTGGTTCACTTGGCCTCAGCCACATCCATCAGCTTGTCAAGGATGCTCTATCTGCAAGCATTTTGCACATGCTGTTACATTTGTCAGCAGAATTCCCCTCAATGAAGCCATACATGATCCTACAACTCTGTCAATGTCTATCCCAGTAACATGTTAAATTTTTTTCATCACATTAATTGCTACCTGAGATGATAGTCTTCATTTATTTAATGTTTATCACCTCAGATTTTAACCTTCACTAAAACAGTGGTTTTATTTGCTTTATTGCTATGTCTATAGCATCTAGAGCAGCTGCTGAACACTTATGCTTTCAATAAATATTTATTGACTGAGTTAACGAAGAAATGGGCACTCCTTAACTTTCTAATAATGGTGTATACAATGTAAGCTTCTTTAGGAACTATCTTATTCATCATATGCATAATAATTAAAGGCTCAATAAATATTTTAGACTCAATTAAAAAAGCAATACTAGGTTGGCTTATACACTCTACTTTTTCTAACACTGGATATATTTGCAGATAGTAGGTGTTCAATGGATGTTTGCTGATCTTCAAATGCAGGTTACTTTGGATCTGTCAATATAGGTTAACACATGGCTAACTTAGTATTGTTTTGTGTATAAGGATATTAACTGGCTGTAATAGCAACAGAACTTTCGTGAAGAACTGTTTTGAAAACTGGCAAAAAAAAAGTACAATTTATATGTAGGGGCCAAAGGCAAGCCACCCCAAAACGTGCAACTTTGTTATATTAATTATTTTAAATAAAAGTTACTTAAGAAACAGTCAATGCTCTGACTTGCTCCCTGCTTTGTCTCCACTAAGCAAAAAATAAATCTCCCATGTGAAAGGTACCGTTTCTATCCCAGGATATTGTAAGGCCACAAGTCTAAACGTCTAAACCAAACTGACTCCATGACAGGCTTTAAGTTTGCCCTCTGAACTAGAAGGCCTAAGTTTCAGCTTCCCCGAAACTATCAGGCAGTTACACATTGCCCAAGACAGGAGAAACCACCCTTGCAACACCCAATCAGGAAAGGCCAGCGACCACCCTCCACATTATTAAGGGAGAGGCCTGGAGATAGAAACTATAGATAGGACCCTGTTACCTAATGTTAAAGTTAACCTGTTAGTCGCCGAACAAGACCCTAGGCTCTCTCTGTGATTGGTTGAATTTAAAGGTACTCTAAATGTTGTAATTGGATCCCGCCAAAAGTAACGAATACTCTAGACAATGTGTATGGTCAAACCCGCTGTCAATGATGTTGAACTATTATGATTGGATCACTGTTCCCATGTCACAACTTCTGTAACTCCCCCGTCTCAAACCCCATAAAAACCCTACTCTGCCCTTGTTCGAGGCTCTCAGCACGGACCTATACGTTGGTGAAGTCTGTGAGCCCGAGCTTAAGCCGGTAATAAAGCCCTTTGCCTTTGCATGCGTGACTCGGTCTCCCTGGTGGTCTCTGGTCGGTGAGGATACTGCGATCTGGGTATAACAATATAAGGAGACATTCTTATCCTCAGAGAAGAAATTAAAAAGAAATTAAAAGCCAAGAAGGGCATATAAACAACCCTTGTTACTTTTTATTTATTAATTTACTACTCCAGCCCAAATTCTGTTTAGAAAAATAATTTACTAAACTCCCCAAATTAAGTTTTCTTTGTTTGGTCAATTCCTCAGATTTGTTTCTACCCCCCCCCCCCCCAAAAGTATAAAAACTGCTTGTTTTGGTCATTTCTTTAGGTTTCAATTTTATTTTGGACCCCTATGTGCACCTACCTTGTTTGGAACCCAACAAATCTCTCAAATCAGAACTTTCTTTTTATTGATGAGGAGTTGATGCCCAAAGATATTGTGTGCAGAGCAAAGAATAAATGAAAATTTCCTGATTCCTAGTCCTGTTCCCTTTCCATTGTATCAGTATTTTAATTTATATCTCTAGATATCCAAATGTCTATGTACCTATATCTATGTATCTCTGTATAATACTATATTGCATCTTGTCTTTTTAAATAACTGTAAGTTCCAGCGCGCCTGGGTGGCTCAGTCGTTAAAGAGCTGACTGTGGCTCAGGTCAAGATCTCTCATCTTGGTTTATGAGTTCCAGCCCCATGTCAGGCTCTATGCTTGAAAGCTCAGAGCCTGGAGCGTGCTTCACATTCTGTGTCTCCCTCTCTCCCTGCCCCTTCCCTGCTCATGCTCTGTTTCTCTCTCTCTCAAAAATAAATCAACATTAAAAACATTTTTTAAATAAAAAAAATAAATAATTGCAAGGTCCTTGACAGCGAGCATTACAACATAATTCCCCCCAACCCCCCATAATATCTCTCTGGGATCCGAACTCCTGGCAGATGCTGGATAAAATATGTTAAACAACTCACTTAAAAGAATTATACCAGAGCCGTGGTGAATCCCGGCCGGGCTTTGGTCCTGTCTTTGCGCCGGAAGAGCCCATGTGAGTGAATCCTCTTCCAGCTCCCCGCCGGGATTTAGAGGCACCCCGGAACTGGTCCCCGGATGCGACTCGGGGGCCGCCGCAAGGATTTCGGCACCTTGCTTTGGTGAGTACCTCTGCTGGGTCGCTTGCTTCGCTGGCCGGGTTGGCCGAGAAACTACCCCACTAAGTATAGGGCAAGAGGTGGCGTGGAAGGAGCGAGGAATTTGGGCCGATGGCCTTTTCCTCGGACTCGAGACAGGGTTTGGAAGCCCAGCACGGGGACGCCGGTTGCTAGGCAACCTGCAGACGCGGGCCCGGGCTTGCTGGAGTCTATCCGGAGCTGTGCCTTTCCAGTTGTCCTGTCTGGCGCTGTCTCAGGAGAGTTCTCGGTGGACTCGCCCCAGGTGATACCTCTTCCAGCCTTTCCACCCCGGACCTGCTCTTTACCTGACTTGTTGGGTCAAGTCAGGTTGGCTGTCCGGAGTGTCCCACCCCAGTCCTTAAATCTCGAGTAGGGAGAGGGCGGAGCATTAGTTCTGGTACTTTGTGTTTATGCATAATCTTAACCTTTGTGGGGGCGGGGGGTGAGGGGGAGTGGTGTACGGACAATTACTATGTTTGAACTGAAGAATGACGCGAGGTTCATTCAGGTACTTGGGTCTCTTATCGCCTGGGCTCCTAGATAAACTTGGTCCTCACCTGCATGGAGGTTAAATACTAAATCTTCCGCTCTCTTTGATTATGGGATGGATTTGATCAATTTATGCTTCGCTCTCCGTTATGTTCTGATTTGGTAGAAGCAGGTTATAGTCACTGATATCACTAACCAAGAGAGAATTGGTGATAATTGCAACTGGAAATAATTATCCTTAAAAAATGAGAAGAGTGGGAGGTGAGTTCTGTTCTTTTTGGTAGCACTAAAGATAATATGGCAAGACTTGGGTCTGTCAACAACATCCATGACATGCCAGCTCTAGTATCTCCTGACTTGCAGCAATTCCGGGGAGCCATTCAGAAGTGCTTTTCTCTGCTCCTGCCACCGCTCCTCCCCAATATACCCCAACTGGGTATTCCCATTCCAAAGATCGGTTTGGACAGACTTTGGTGTGCATTCTAAAGATCGGTTCACAGCCTATTTATTTGAAATTCTGATTCTTTTGCCACCAGGTTTAGGTTTCTGATCTTCTTCAGTCTCTGTGGCTAATTCTCCTCTCTTTCTTCCCACCTGTACCAGCAAGGGGGTAGTATTAGAAAGAGGTCTGAAACCGGTATAAATTCATACTCAGTAATACCTGGCAAATAAATTTGGCAAAGTAAAATTCCCCATTTTTGGGTCTCTGATCCCTCAGTCTGAAAATCAGAAGACTGAGCTATTTCATCTCTGCAGTCCTGTCTAAATCTTAAGATTCTTTGACATAAGGTGTCAAGAGCTTGACTGCTCTAATTCTGTAGATTCTGGAGTGTTCCCCATATGATGGCTTTGCCCTTCAATACTCCTGTTATATCTGAATGAACCATTTGTATGCTACCTAATTCTGAAATAACTCTCATGTGAATTGACTGCATTCATCTATTCAACAAATATTTATAAGTTCCTACTGCTTTCTTGGCTTTCTGCTAAGTGCAAGGTGAGCAAAGCCATAGTCTTGCCTTTATGAGTCTTACAGTATAGTGTAAAGAATAATAACCACCATGCATGCCTTGAATGCTGTATATATTGTTTGAAGACAGAATTTATATGTGGCATTGTGATCATGTCATATTTATATGTGGCATTTATATGTGGCATTGTGATTATGTCACTTAGGTGCAGAGAAGGGAAACTAAGAATAGTTTAAAATGTGAACAGGTGTTTGACTATGCATTAATTTATTGACTAAATAAATATTTATTATGTATCTGCTATATTAGGGGCATGAGATCCAACTTCGTGGTCTTGACAGTTTATTAGAGGCATGAAAAGAGTTCATTACAGTCAAGAGTAATGACTGTAAGCCTGGGGAAATACAGGGAGTATTTAAAGTTTGTAGTTTTTGTTATTTGCAAATGAATTATGGTGATGTAAGGTGACCTATAGTGATTTGAAATGGCTATGATGGTTTCTAAGGTATAGATAACTGTGTGGTTGATGTGTGGACAAAATTACTTAGCTGACTGCTTAGCACTCCTGTTTTAATTTGAGTTTGTTGGTTGCTAATCATCATGGTAAATACAACAGCCTTTGTGATGTGGTTAAAAGCCAATAACAGCCTTCTTTCCCCCCACCAAAGCAATAACCATTTTTAAAAAGTTGCTTACTTGTGAAAGATAACTCAGGCAAAAAAGCCAAATTATTATCAAATCTAATATTGTGATGTTTTCAGAATATGTCCACTGTTGGTTAATAGTCTTCCTGATTTTACTCTTACATTAGAAATCTAGCCTTAGGGCATGGGGTCTTAGGGGAGGGGGCTATGGAAATGGGGTAAAGGAAGCCTTGTAGATAAATTAGTGAAGAACTGGGATATCTTTCAGTAAGAGGATTTCAGTGGGTGTGCAGTAAAACTACATTTTAATAATAATACTAATGATGGCCATGAATTGAATATACCATGAATTGAATAACCGTGTTCCATATATAGGGTGCTAACATTGAACTCATTTTACATATTAGAAATATTGGCTCAGAAAGATTAAATTCATAACCAAGCTTACATTATGGGAAAGTATCAAAACATGAGGATTTTAATGTCAGTCTGTCTACCTCTATGCTGGCATTATGCCATGCTATCTTTCCTTAAAAATTACTATTAAAATATATCCAAGTCTAATAATAGAAAAAGAAAGTATGAATTGTTAAACAACATATCCTCAGTATTATTAAGGTTGAAATATGAAATAAAATACTCAAAATTTGGATGACTGAGCTATCCATCTGATTTTTGTTTTGCACAACTTTGCAAGTTGATGATTTTCAACATTTTCTTACATGCATTTTTACCTGTTGTCTCATAATTACTAATTGGACCATCCACTCTGTTTTGTTCTTTGTATTAAAGAATACTGTTTGCATAACAAGGTTTTCCACGAGCTTGGTCTGGCAAAATTAAAACTCCTTCCTAAAGGTTTAGGAAAAGAGTAAAGAAGATGAATTTAAATCACTTTCTGGTAGATGCATTAGTACACACATTAGTTTTCTATTACTACTGTGAAAAATTACCGCAAACTTAGTGGTCTGAAACAACATACATTAATTACGTTACAATTCTGGAGGTCAGAAGTACAAAATGAGCTCCACAGAGCTAAAATTAAGATGCCAGGAGGGCTGGATCCTCCTGAAGGCTCCAGAGGAAAATTCATTCCTTGCCTCTTCAGACTTGCAGAGACTACTCTTGACCTCTCCCTCCATTGGCAAAGCCAGCTCTGTAGCATCTTCACTCCTCTCTGAGCTGTGCTGTCTTTCTTACACCTTCTCTTTCTTACTCTGATCATCTTGTCTCCCTCTTCTAAGGATGCTGATGATTAATTGGGCCTTCCAGATAATCCAAGATAATTTGCACATCTCAAAATCCTTTACAAAATCACACCGGAAAAGTCTACTTGTTATATAAGGTAAACGTATTCACAGGGTCCACTGATTAGGGCATGGGCCTCTTTGGGGGAACACTATTTGGACTAGCATTTGCCCCACATAATGTAATCACCCCAGAAAAAGTTATTTGAGTGAAAGAAGTAAGAATGATTAACCACATGATTTCTTTCCATGTAGTAGTAATAGTATGCAATTTGCATGGCTTGTTTAAAATTAAAGTAAGAATTATCATTTTGTATGTGTTTTGCCCTTTTCAAAGTATACTGCAGGATAAATACGTGAATTTGAATGGATTTAGAGGTTAAAGGAGGTGCTGCTTCTCCTACGAGTCAAATTCAGCCATTCCCTGGAAGAAAGAAGCCGCTGCCAGTACGTGTGCTATAAAGTTTTCCTCTTGTAGGATGATTCATTAAATAATTTTCTGACTCCTTTCTTCATGTTTTTATGACTACTTATACTTAGAAATATTTACGGTCCATATTTTCTAGATTTGAAGAATTCAATTGAAAAGTTGGTCATTGCTTGAATTTGTTTTATTTTTAAAAATCAAGTTTATTATTGTTTTCATGTCATTATCTTAAAAATTATCTGTGTATCTATAGAAAATATAAGAAATAATATTAGTAGAAAGAAGAAGAGAATATCAGCATACATTTTGTGTTAGGTAAGAAGAGAATCTGGGCGTCTATGAAAACTTTTGTTTGTAAACCTTCATAATATCACCATTGTGTATATAAATCATTGATTAAGCACACATTTACAGCTACTTTGTTCTAGTTTTCACCACAGAATTGGGCAAATATAAATTTTAGTTTAGAAATATGTAAAAGTGATGTATATTTATATTTCCTTGTTATTCTTATTATTCGAAATATTGAATGCCTACTGCTTGTCCAGACACCATAATAAATCTTTCAATAACTTATCACTTAATTCTTATAACACACTTTTGAGGTATATATTGTTACTAACCTGTGTTTAGAAGTGGAAGAATTGTGGATCCTGGAGATTAAGTGAGTTGCCAAGATTTTGAACTTCAGTTCTGACTTCAGGATCTGTGCTCTTTACTCTGCGTTTAGCTGTCTCCCTTATATGAATGAGTTAGTGCTTTGGGGTTTCTTATGATTCATCATAATATGAGTTAAATCTGAATTATTTGATAATTTGAATCAAAGCAGCTCTTCTTGTCAAAATAGCAAGTATTTCTGCCTTTCTCACTGATAACCATATTATGGAGGCTTCAGCTTTTTCCCTGGTTGTTAAGAAAAGCTCAAGATTTAAGTTCTTTAAAAATTTTTTTGTAACTCTATTTATTTATTTTGAGGCAGAGAGCAAGCAGAGTAGGGACAGAAAGAGGGGAGAGAGAATCCAAAGCAGGCTCCATACTATCAGCACAGAGCCCGTTGTGGGGTTTGAATCTATGAACCATGAGGTCATGACCTGAGCCAAAATCAAGAGTTGGATGCCTATTTTCTGCTCAAATTATACCTTCTTTTAATCTTTATGTTAGGAAGGTCCAGCTAGTGGACTTAGGGAACAAGTTTATATTTATCTCAGAGTTCTTGTTCCTGAAGGAAAAAATAATTCTAGATATCCAGGTTATTGTCTCTTCAAGTTTATCAGCACAGGTTTAATTTTGTAGCTATTAGCTACCATTTCTGGAGTGCTCTAAAAGCTAGAATTAAAAGTGAGAAATGACGTATACTTTAAAAAAAAAAAAGAGTACTTAATGCTTCAAATATCATTACAGGGGCTCCTGGGTGGCTCAGTCGGTTAGGTATCTGACTTCGGCTCAGGTCATGATCTCACGGTTCACAAGTTCAAGCTCCGTGTTGGGATCTGTGCTGACAGCTCAGAGCCTGGAGCCTGCTTCAAATTCTGTGTCTCCCTCTCTTTGCCCCTCCCCTACTCATGCTCTGTCTTTCTCTCTCAAAAATAAACAAAAACATTAAAAAAACACAAAAAACAAATATCATTACAAGCACCAACAACTGATAAATATGTGTAGGAGATAAGGATGTAAGGACTTGTTCAGCCCTACTAATAACCAGGGGAATGAAAATTAACATCATGATATACTTTTATGCCTCTATTAAATTAGAGGAAAAATATAATATTGAAATACTCAGATTTAGAATTGGTGCATTCTAAACTGGTAACACGAGGTGAAGTGGATGGGAAGATGGCTGAAACAGGTGATGAGGATTAAGGCGAGCACTTTTGATGAGCACAGAGTGATGTATGGAATTGTTGAATCACTATATTATACCTGAAGCTAATGTAACACTGTATGCTAACTATACTGGGATTGAAATAAAGACTTAATAAAATAAAAAGATACTCCTGACCAAAACATCAATGATAATTCACAGTATTAATTATCATTTATATTAATTGATTTCAATTTACACTGTAATAGTGACACTAGAAAAATTAGCCCGAGGTGTATAGCGTTTCAAAAATACAAAAGTTTCTTTATTGATATTGACTCATGCTGCCATTTTAAAATCTACTTTGTTAATTTGTTTGCTTTTGAAGTAATTAGAAAAGCAGGATATTACATAGGAATCATCACCTCTTTGCAAAACTTTTAGGAATTGAACTCTGGAATGCAGAGGCATTTGATTGAAATGTATATATTAAGTTCTTTAGAAAATGACCAGTCTAAATTGAAATTCTATAGAATCAAACATAAAAAAAAAACCCAAAACCAAAAAAACCCTGGTGCCACATTTCTGGAAACAAGATTGGCGGTGTGTATTGACCTATAATTTTTTTCAAAAGATTTGATGTAAATACTAGCATTCCTGGAATCTATTCTATGGAAATAATCTGATATTTAGAAAAACTCACACACAAAAAAGTTATTTTTTAAAGGGTGTGTTATTTTAAATAATGAAAAAAGTATTGGAAAAGCGATTGAGAAATACTAGATAAATTATGGCACAACCTTTAGATGGACTATTCTATAGATTTAAACATGATTTTAAGGGGTAATATAGAAGTACCTTAAAATAAAAGGTGAAAAAGACAGCATACAAATTATTACAAATTTGTCTAAATCTATAGAATATACACTAAGAGGGAGCTCTAATGCAATGGATTTTGAGTGATAATAATTTGTGAATGTTGGTTTATCAGTTGTAAAAAATGTACCTCTCTAGTGAGAGACATTAATAATGGGGAAGGCTCTGCATATGTTTTTTTGGTGTATGAGCTCCCAGTTTCAATTCCAGCACCTTCAACTAGCAATGCTCTGACAGCAGTTGGGTGTCCTACAAGTCAACTCAATTTTGACACTTATCAACCCAGACATAGCACTAGGTTCCACAGGTTAAGGGCTCAGTTTTAAAGGCTGCACACCTCCCCCAACTTCAGACAAGCCCAGGTTGTTATTTGTGCTTCTGACTGACTGGCTATAGGTTGGGAGTTCCAATGACTTCCACCAACTCAGGATGCCAATGCCGAGTCCATGTTGATGCTCAGATACTCGTAGTTCTGACCTACAGGCTATGTAAGTCAGAGGTTCCCACAGCCTCCTCCTTGGGTTTGATGAATTTGCTGGAGGGGCTCAGAGAACTCAGAGAAACCTTTTATTTACTAGATTGCCAGTTTATTATAAAAATATATAACTCAGGAATAGCCAGATAGAAGAGATGTGTATGGCAAGGTATGGGAGAAGGGGCATGAAGCTTCCATGCCCTCTCCATGTTCACCAACCTGGAAGCTCTCTGAATCCTGTCTTTTTGGGTTTTTATGGAGGTTTCATTACATAGACAGGATGAATTAAATCATTGGCCATTGGTGATTAAACCTCTAGCCCTCTTCTCCACTCCCTGGAAGTCTGGACTGAAAGTCCAACCACCAATCACAAGGTTGGCTTTATTGGTGACCAGCCCTCATCTTTGGGAGTTTTCCAAAAGTCACTTGATTAGCATAACAAAAGACATGTATTTCTGTCAACATTGAGAAAATTCCAAAGGTTTTCGGAGCTGTAAGCCAAGGAATTGAGCAACCCCAAATATATACGGGAAATCTGTTTTTGTCATATGTATATTTCTTACAAATCACATATCACAGGGGATATGTAGGAAATGTCTGTACCTTCCACTTAATTTTGCTATGAACCTAAAGCTTCTAAAAAAAGAAAGTATTTTTAAAAAGGACAAGATAACAGAGTTACTCAGCTTTTTAAATAAAGGGTCAGCTAGAGGCTCCTGGGTGGCTCAGTCAGTTGAGCCTCCGACTTGATTTTGGCTCAGGCTATGATCTTGTGGTTCATGGGTTCAAGCCCTGTGTTGGGCTCTGCGCTGACAGTGCAAAGCCTGCTTGAGATTCTCTGTCTCCCTCTCTCAAAATAAATAAATAAATTTTTTTAAAAAAGTACATAAAGGGCCAGCTAGTAAATAATTTTGCCTTTATGGGCTGTTGTCTGTTGCAATCACTTAACTCTGTTGTTGTAATGAGAACACAGACAGTTCATAAATGAATGTGGTTGTGTTTCAGTAAAACTTTATTTATAGGACAGAGGTGGGCCATAGTTTGCCAACCCCTGGTCCAGGGACTTATAAACTGTAATTTATCTTTATTCTGGAATGGCTAGCACAGTTTTGTTGGAATTAGACAAGAAAGGTAACCTGCCATTGTAAAATAGGCCCATGACTTTTGTTTTGTTTTGTTTTCTTAAACAAATTTTTTAATGTTTATTTTTGAGAGAGAGAAAGACAAAGTGCAAGCTGCGAGGGGCAGAGAGACAGGGAGACAGAATCCAAACAGGCTCCAGGCTCTGAGCTGTCAGCACAGAGTCCGATGCAGGGCTCAAACCCATAAACCATGAGATCATGACCTCAGCTGAAGTTGGATACTTAACTGACTGAGCCACCCAGGTGCCCTTTGGCCTATGACTTTAAAAGACTGTCTTTAAGTGTAAACACTTTCTGGGGTCCATTAAAACACTTTCTGCAGTGGGCAGGAGTGCTTGTGTGCCTCAGTCGTTTAAGTGCCCAAGTCTTAATTTTGGCTCAGGTTATAATCTCATGTTTCTGAGATCGAGCCCTGCATCAGGCTCTGTGCTGACAGCGAAGAGCCTGCTTGGGATTCTCTCTCTCCTTTCTCTGTCCCTCCCCTGCTCTTGTGCACTCTCTCTCTATTTCTCAAAATAAAAGACTTTCTGGGGGATAATCATGGTGATGATTATGACACAACTATAGTTATATCCTATTTAGATTTTCTTCCTAAGTTAGATGATATGATGTTTCCCAAGTACAATTAAGACAATCTTTGATATGTGATAGAAGTGTGTTGCTACTTTAGGCTATGATGTATGTGTTATAGATATACAGTTGACCCTTAACTCATTTGAACTGCACAGGTACACTTATATGCAGATTTTTTTTCAATAAATACAGTATAGTACTATAAATGTATTTTCTCTTCCTTATGATTTTCTTAAGAACATTTTATTTTCCATAGCTTTCTTTATTGTAAGAATGCAGTGTATAGTACATATAGCATACGAAATATGTGTCAATTAACTGTTTATATTCCCAGTCAACAATAGGCTAGTAGTAGTTAAGTTTTTGGGGAGTCAAAAGTTATATGTGGATTTTTGACTGTATGGTGGGGGTAAGTAGTTAGTACCTTTAACCCCAGCATTGCTCAAGGGTCAACTGTATTTTATATATATATATGTATTCTAATTAACTGATAATTTTGTGATTTTCAGTTTCTACATGTTAGCTTTTTATTAGAATAGTATTTGAAACAATGCCATATTTGTAAAGTTTATACTGAATAGAATTTATTTTCTCTTTCTTGGTCAATTAGAGTGATGAAGCTCCGTCCTGAATGTAATTTTTTAAAATTTATTTATTTTGAGAGAAAGAAGGAATGTGGAGGAGGGGCAGAGATAGGGACAGAGAGAATCCCAAACAAGCTCCGTGCTGTCAGTGCAGAACACAATGTGAGGCTCAAACCCACGAACTGTGAGATCATGACCTGAGCCAAAATCAAGAGTTGGATGCTTAACAGACTGAGCCACCCATGTGACCCTTGAATGTAATGTCTATGTTGCTTATCATCTATCTCTGTGTCTCAAGCATAGTAGGGAAAGCCTTAATAAATATTTCTTCTGTGAAGTTTCTGAGAAAATAATAATCGGCCTTACTGAATTGACTCATTGCTTATCTTTTAAAATAGAAATAAAATGTATATACATACTGGTTTTTTCTTCTTTTAATTAAAGCAAGGACGGACTTCCAAATCATGGGCAATCCAGAATCCTTGCCTACCTGTGTAAGTCACATTTCTTCACATTTGAGCTATTCAATGGGTGAACTCTTATAATATGTTAACAAGGAAAAAAAAATACAAAATTTTATATGTAGCTGTGATTGTGAACCACAAAAAAAATTGATATGCATGTAGACGACCTGAAAATTTCTATGCCAAAATGAAGGTAGGATGATAGGATTGAAGGTAAAACTTCTCTTGTTTTTTATTTTCTTTAATATTTTTACATTTTCCTGAAAAAGTTAAACTGTTGTTTTATTTAGAAACTTCAGTTAAATGAATTTATTAAAGAAATATATGAAATTTTGAATTTCAAAACTGGGATAGTCAAAATGAATTTAATGAGAAGTATCTGTGGCTTAAACCTTATCTTAAGAAATACGACAATTTATTCATCTTATTTAAATGATTTTAGTTTTGGATTGGACGACATTAATTTATGTTTTATAGTGTACATTTTTACCTTTTAAAATTTGGAAGAATATGAGTTTTATATTCTTTCAAGTATTTTAAACTATAGGGTTTATTAGAAAATAGAACTTAATAAATTAAATAAACTTAAGCATATTTTAAGTTGGTTATAAATTTTACCACTATGGAGGATATATAGCAAGCAATTTACAAATACCAATAAAATATATAAACTCTCTTTTGGAAATTCCATGTAGCCAATTGATTCTCACAGAATGCTTTCTTTGTTTTCTGCTGAACTCTTGTGTCTGCAGCTGATGAACTAGTATAGTTCCATTGTGAATACTGTTGATATTTTCCTTTATTGTAACATGACGTGAGTGATTTATTTCTTGACTTAAGTAATAGTTTTGAATACTGGGACAGTATTTCCTCAATTTTTTTTGATTCGCAATGGCCAGTTGCAGGGATGATACACTTTTTAAGTTTAACCTGTACCATTAATGTCTTCTCCACTATTGTTTTTAGTCTTAGAAATCAACAAAATAATAAGTTAGGTCCTGATTGATAGCATTTGCCAATTTCTGTGTCAGTCATTCCACTGTGGCTGATTTCAAGTTATGTGTAGTATCACTGAACACAGACTTGGAAAGAGATGCACACCATTATACTACCACACAAATACCATAGGTGTAAACTTCTAGAACATAGATAATAGTGAAGTACAGTAAAGTCATTAAGAAGTGACAACTTCAAATACTTATTACCTTTGTTTTTAATATAGCTTATTTAATCATAAGTTTTTATAATTTTATTTTTAAAAAAAGGACTTTTTTGATGTTTTACTTATTTTTGAGAGACAGAGACAGAGACAGAGTATGGGCAGGGGAGGGTCAGAGAGAGAGGGAGATACAGACTCTGAAGCAGGCTCCAGGCTCCGAGCTGTCAGCACAGAGCCTGACGCAGGACTCGAACTCACGAACCATGAGATCATGACCTTAGCTGAAGTTGGACTCTTAACTGACTGAGCCACTTAGGCGCCCTTATAATTCTGTTTTTATTTTTTATTTTGTTTTTTAATTTTTTAAATGTTTTATTTATTTCTGAGAGAGGGAGAGAGAGAGACAGCATGAGCATGGGAGGGTCAGAGAGAGAGGGAGACACAGAACCTGAAGACAGGCTCCAGGCTCTGAGCTAGCTGTCAGCACAGAGCCCGATGTGGAGCTGGAACCCATGAACCATGAGATCATGACCTGAGCTGAAGTCGGATGCTTAACTGACTGAGCCAACCAGGCACCCCTATAATTTTATTTTTAATAATGCTTTGTTAGCCACTAGCTCAAAAACTACTGAACATTTATTTAACAAAAGCCTTTCACAGCTGGTAGGTACAGCCCACCATTGGCTTTAGTGTACCTTTTTAAATAAGATGTAGCATATGTGATTTGCAACTATTAAAGCCTCATTTTAAAAAGTTATGGGATGCATAGGTTATTTCTTTCAGGGTTCCACGACTTGATTTGGGAAGCCTTGTTGACTCTGACGAGGAGGTAATTTTTACTTTGTATTTACTATAATAAACATTTGAACACAATGTTGCACATAGCGCATAATAAATGTTATTTAATTTTAGGATGGTTTTTCATTTATCCCACTTAGTACTGCACATATTCATTTTAACCCACCAGATTCATCTTCTGCTCTTAGTTGGGTCACACCATGTCAAATACCACATACTCAGCATCATCTAAATGAACTGGTTAGTGTTTATTTCTTATTACGAACCCTCAGAATTATAATGTACATTTAAGCACTGTATTTAGTCTGGAAATTTCATTATGTTCAGTCTACATTTTGTCCAGTTTAAATATTTGATATACTAACATCCCCAACGATCATGTTGCTGAAATAATTTTACTTTGTTTTGCATTTTTTTTCACGTGGAAACGATATTTTTAAAATGTCTTATGAAAGTTAGTGAAGTTCAAGTTTATCCTAATAGAGAATCCAGGAATTTAAAAAATACGGTAGAATATTAGATCAGATCTTGCTCGTTTAACAATGTGATTTGTCTCTTGGAAATGGATTCCTACTTTGGACAACTAGTATGCTATGGAGTAACTGTAAGAAACTATTCTTATTCCGGGGCACCTGGGTGGCTTAGTCGGTTAAGCGTCCGACTTTCGCTTAGGTCATGATCTTGCAGTTCGTGGGTTCAAGCCCCGCGTCGGGCTCTGTGCTGACTGCCAGCTCAGAGCCCGGAGCCTGTTTCAGAGTCTGTGATTCCCTATCTCTCTGACCCTCCCCTGCTCATGCTGTCTCTCTCTCTCTCCTAGAAATAAATAAAACATTAAAAAAAAATTTTTTTAAAAATAAAGAAACTATTCTCATTCCAAGGTATCTCCTTGGGACATATTTATACTTCAAACAATATTTAGTGTTGTATTTCACGTTATGAACACAAGTTCTGGCCGGTTTTCTATGAGGAAGTCTTGCTTCTCTCTCTTGGTTAGTCTTTCTCTTGTGGCTGGTTCTATTCATGTCTTCTTCAGTCTCATTTTGGATAAATTACACCAATAGTATCCTGGTCTGTACCCTGCTACAGTTTTTACCCTGAAACTTTGTTTTATCCTCTAGGTTAGACTTGTATATTATCAACACTTGCTAAGGGTTGTGCTGGCTTTAGCCTCCTTTTGCAGTGGCTGTCCCTCTTTGGGCCAATATGTATGTCCTTGTGTTTGCTTAGTACTCCTTTTTTTTTTTTTTAAATGTTTATTTATTTCTAGGAGACAGAGAGAGAGAGACAGCGTGAGCAGGGGAGGGTCAGAGAGGGAGTCACAGACTGAAACAGGCTTCAGGCTCTGAGCTGGCAGTCAGCACAGAGCCCGACGCGGGGCTCGAACCCACGAACCGTGAGATCATGACCCAAGCGAAAGTCGGACGCTTAACCAACTAAGCCACCCAGGCACCCCATGCTTAGTACTCCTTTTAGATTTCTCTTATCCACTGACTCTGTTATTGCTTACTCCCATGGGATATGGCCGGGAACCAAGCAATAGCAGCAGGTAGAAAATTGGAAATTCTACAAACGGCAAACAGTGCTTCTTAGTGTTAGTGATCTCTAATGCCTAGGATTATTCTGGAAGAAAGGATTGTCAGTGGAATTTTTCTCAGGCAGAAGAAAAAGGCTTACCTAAAACTCCTCTAAGAAGAAAGGAAAGTTAATTTGTGTCTTCTCAAATTATTTTAGAACCAGAACTGATCTTCAGCTGGGAAACAAGGGACAGGCTTCCTGGTATTTATGACCAATGCCCATTTGGAGCAGTTCTACCTGCTTTGATTTCTCAGTGATGCTGTATGAGCTACATGTTTTAAATATTACCTCTGTTTAGCACATGGATCATAATGGTCTGTTTCTTAAACATAAATGTTAAGGTAAATGATAAACCTGTTCATTTTAATAAGGAAAATTAATAATTATTTTTATTTCTTTCTGTTTTTTTTTTTCTGGTGGATAACATACTTTTTATTTTTATATCTAGGAGCAAGACATAATACCTGAAAACTTGCCAGAAGCAACAAGCAAACATAAACTAAAATATCAGCAAAATAAAACTGAAATGAAAAAAGGATATGAACAGTATAGTCAGAGAAATGCAGAAAAGACAATACCAGATATCACACAACAGTCTCCAAGAAACAAGGTAGATGACAAGGTAATGTATGAGACTTCATGAAGTTCTGATGAAATAAAAAAAAGAAAGAAATTCCATGTATCAGAGAAATCTTTTTGTCTGGTATGTCTTGCTGTTAGTCGTAGTCAGTATATTAGCCAGCATTTGTTTCTGTGTCCTAGGGACTATTTTTTAAGTATTTTGCTTGCATTAACTACTTTATTCTTAAGAACAACTCTAAAGGTTTATTATTATTTTCAGATGTGAAATCTCTAGCCATCTAGATGACCTAGTCATCTTTTCTCTGTTAGTTTTTCATTAATTTGGGATTGGAGATAAGACAATATTAAATCTGTTTTTGATGTGGCTAACTTGAACTGTCTTGGTCTCATAGTCTAATAAAAACTTTTTTAAATTATTTATTTTTGAGAGAGAGACAGACAGACAGACAGAACACGAGAGGAGGAGGAGCAGAGAGAGAGGGAGACACAGAATCTGAAGCAGGCTCTAGGCTCCCAGCTGTCAACACAGAGACCAACACGGGGCTCGAAACTACGAAGCGAAATGTGAGATCTTGACCTGAGTTGGAGTCGGGTGCTTCAACTGACTGAGCCACCCAAGTGGCCCTCACGGTCTAAATTTTAAAGTTGAAAAATGATTACAGCTGTTGCAGTGACCCCATTTTACTCTAAAACTGTCCTCACTCCATGATTTTCTTCTGCCTCATGTTGGGAGGTGTTTTTTAACATCATGAATTGTTAACATTATGCTTTTATTTAATATTAATTAGGTGTAAATTCAACATTCATGAATATGAGAGCAAACTAACCATCATATATTTAATGGCTATTCATAAGCATATTGGAAAGGTCAACCTTGTATTGTGGAAAGAAAGCTTTTGAAACATTGTTTATGATACTACTGGCCATAAAAGAGAGAATAGTTGGATATAATAGTTAACTTTTTAAGAATAATATATTTTCAGGAAAGTTTGATGGTTCTATTAGCTTAACATTTTTTATAGGTAAAAAAGAATTGATTAAATTATAAGTAGATATGGCATATCAGCTATCCATGTAGGAGCTATCTTGAACTAAAAACATCACATGGTGTTTGGTGGAAAGAGTAACAGAAGTTATGGGATTATTTGTCTTTTTTTATGTTAAGACACATTTCCAAGATCCAAACAGATGTATACAAATATAATAATCTAATGTCTATAATCATAGGCAGGATAATTCCACAGCCCTATAGCATCTGGCCATATATTTGTAAGTCCTACTATGTGATATTTAGATCACTATAATAATGTTGGGAAAATAGATTGAAGATTTTTATAAGCTCAAGCTTTACTTGCTGCAACAAAGTGGTTTAAAATATTTTGAAAGTAAAGCTTTGATTTTCTTGAATGTAAGTTCAGATGAGGGCATTTGTTTATTTTTGGCAAGCATTTCTTCCGAAGCTTCCCGTATGTTTGGTAAATACTTTTATAGTATGAATAAAGAGTTTTAGAAGAAGCCAGAATATGTGTATTTTCTTCTGGAAAAAAAATTCTGTTTTACTTTGATTTTTTTTAAATCTACATGTAGGGGTGCCTGGGTGGCTCAGGGGAAAACTCTTGAAATCTATTACATTTTTAGCAGTTGCTAGCCTACTGGGGCATTTTTGTGGTGGTTGTGAAGGGAATAAAAGTACATCTTATTATCAGAGAAAAGTTTAGTGTTTATCTTTAGGATCCCAGAGAATCCTTTACCTTAAAGGATAAACCTCATCTTTTAGTACTTCTGAATTTCATTTTATGAAAGAGTGGACATGCCCATTTTTATTAACTTTACAAAAACTCAAATGGACAATAATAGTTGTAATAGTTGCTATCTTTTATCTAATGCTTACTGTATAGCAGATACTTGTATAGGTGTTGGGCATTTAGTCTTTGTGTGTGTGTATCTGTGTGTGAAGTAGTTACTATTATTAATTCCCATGTTAATTCCCATTGACACGAGTAAGCCAAGGCAGAGAGGTCATCTAGCTAGAAGGTGGAAGAACTGGATTCAAATAGGCAATCTGATTGTCAAGAGATTATACTCTTAACCGCTACATAAATAACTATTGACATGTTCAGAGGTTACTTAATACTCTATTTTGTTAAAAACAAATATGCTAAGTATGTGAACTGAGTATAAACTCTCCAGAGTTAATTTATTGCTTTCACTTACAGTGTGTACAAGGTGAAGAAGCCATCACTGATGACCTTACAACTCTGGATAGGAAAGCCCTCTTACAGGAGGGTTATGCAGACATCCCTTACAATGCACAACGGAGTATGAAAAAATCTGATGCCGTAAGTTATCAGTATTTTTACTTACTTGTTAACCCATTAAGTTAATTTGCCTTCCAAGATTTTCCAGGCTTAAAACTGAATAAATAATTGCAACAATTGATTTTGGAATGCTGTGGATGTTTACTAATGTGTAAATTGAGTCTTCATTTTTACAAATGGTTGCTGTGTGGTATATTTATTGTGGAAAAATAGCCTTGAATCTTTGAGAGTTTGTAAAAATTTAGTTTATACTATTAAAAATGTTGGTTGGCTGCTGTTTTGTCAGTGGGTTTATTTAGCATCACCCCTGCCTTCAAAGTAACCTAGTTAGTTTTTTGAAAGTGATAAGCAAATAAGGCTAGAGAAATTCCAGCAAGTTAAGGAAAAGTGTAGAAATAAAGTAATTTTTTTAAGGAAAAGCGAAGCAAAACTCTAGATTCTCAATATTAACTCTAGTATATGTGCTGCCGAAGCGAGCACTCAATATTAGCTCTAAATTGCATCTTCTTTAAAATCAATTGGATGAGTGTTGCTTAGGCCAGATCTGGTACAAATAGATGATTACATTTCTATAGTGTCCTGAGGTAATCAGACCAAGCTACTTGAACTTGGAGTCCACTGGCTACCCCAGACACCTCGAGGTGATTAATATCTTAGACATATTAGTAATGAATTGATGAAATACCAGTGTGTGGTGCTCCAAAATTGGGAAAACTCTGGTTTAGATAACCTAAGTAGTAATGAAACATTACAGGTTTAGCCAGTTACATTATCATTATCATTGAAAGGGACGTGAATACATATTTTATTTGGATTACAATCATCCAAAATTAATATGTTCTGAATGGACAGCAATGTGTAATCAGTCTCTGGACTATGTACTGATTTTCTGTGGATGTCCAAGTTACTACTTTGTTATAGTTTTTTTACTAAAACAACATAAACAGTATTTTATATGCCTATTATTATTGTGATATTTATGCTTAATAGAATAAGGAATCTTACCAGGATTATCCTAAAACTAAAAAAGCTACTTTATAAGGTAAAATGGTAGCCCAAATAAGGCTTGCTTTGATTTGTTCCTGAAGTTGTACTTGGATGTTACAGACACTTAAAGCCTATTGAGTGTTGTGTTTGGTTTCATCCAAAGTCATCTGGATGTTAATGGATTTCTTTGACTCACAATCACTTCAATTCATTAAATTCAGCATCAAGTACATTTTACTTTATTGTAGTAGTGCTCATTTACCTGTTTTCCCCCCAAGGAAATGTTTGTGTGAGTAAACTTTGAATGCATTTGAAATTTGTACTGATTTATTTTTAAAATCTAGGTGGAAACTTTTAAATTTGTAACTACATAATTGAATAACAGAAACAATGAGCCTATGTATGGTTTTTATATCCATCTCTTCTAGTGTGCTAGTCATTTTTCAACATTATCAGATCCTTTGAATCAGTGTGGCTTCTGCTTCTGATCTGCTTTTTATTTACACAGACCTCTAAATCTGTGCCTGAGGGGGATTCTAACCTTTCCTACTAAAAGCCACCATAAAAGTCAACATTCAAGTGGGCTTTCTGCTTGGACTTCTTGTTCATTAATCTCACCTCTTTTACTTGCTGGGTTTTATACCTCTGTTCTGGCTGACCTTTTCTGTATATAGTTTCATGTTTTAGTCAGTGTTCACTTTCTTCCCCCTTAGACATAAAACATGCTTTGCTGTACCTGTAAGTTACCACAAGCTTTCTAACTTTTTAATTGCTGTTTGACACTTATTACTAAACAGAAGTCATTATAAATTGTTATGAGCTTAATAACACCAGATGCCATTATGTTAAATGACGTGAACTTTATATCGGGCATATTTGGATATATAAATTGTATCTCAAGTTCTACTAAACCAAAAAAAAAAAAAAGAAAGAAATTTAACTATAAACTAATATTTAAATAGTTGTGTCCAAATTTCCAGGTTTCTTAGTAGTTTTTATGATATACCTTTAGTCATTCTATTTAAATTTTGTGTTAGTTTCAAATGGAGCGCTCTCCCTAAGGTTACAAAGCCTCTATCATAAACAATGTTATTGTACTTGATTCCATTTACTAGAGTGATCAAGGGAGATGACAGTAATTTACAGTGTAAAAATAGAACAAGCTTTATTTTGACTCCTTAATTTTTTAACTTATTTTATTTACTCTTCAAAAGAAACTTTTTAGTGAATATAGTTACATTATAATCTGTTTGGAATTGAATGATTAGTAACCTTTCAATTTGATATATCCTAACATATAGTAAAAATATTTTCAAATGAGTTGGAAAAACAAAAGATAGTGTGAAGATAGTTTAATCAAACCAGTAATTGAGTAATGGATTATATGCACAGACACATTATTATCCTTTTAATGATGGGAGACTTTTTAAAAATATTTACTTTTAGATTTTTGATATAGTGTTGAATGATTCCAAACCAGTTTTAACTTCAACTACTACATATAGTTTTAGAACAAACTCTTTTTGTGTCAGGGTTGGCATTATTCTTGGAGCAGGTTAAAGGGCATCCATCAAGGAGAGGGACACCATGATCTCTTCCTCCTTTATTCTAGCTTCCGTGAAACTCAGAGGCTGTGCATGGAAATCTCTGATGATTTCTACCGAAATTTAAGTGCATTACTTTTTAGGAAATAAAAGGTATTTTTAGATTAAATAATTGAGATTTTTTTTTATTAGTGATGGATATAGTAATCTATATTTAAGAAAGAAGTTGGAAATTTAATGTATATTTTGGAAGCTTGTCTTAACTATAGTATTGTTCTACTTTATGGACCACAAAATTAAAAATAATTTTCTCTTCTCAGGAAATTGTGGCTGCAGAGAAGAAGAAACAGACTGTTGCAGAGCAAGTGATGATAGACCACTTATCTAGGTGAGAGTTAGTCATGAGTAATAGAAATCTATTCAGAAAGTTTTCATTAATTTTTTTTATCCTTAGTCAACAAGTGGCTAACTCAGAGGTTCTCAAACTTTCTCTGTTGACTGCACTCATAGTATGCTAGTGATTTTTTTTCATAGCATTCCTAGGCCAGTAGAAATACCCAACAGTTCTATTTTTAAGTATTTTTGTCTAAATGACTTAAGTATTTACTTCATCACAACTTAATGGCCATTTGAAAAAGTAACACACATAAATTGAAAGAGAAAGTATTTTTATTTCATTCTTAGATAGCCGCAGTTACTTGTTTGCAACTTTTGGGGCACTGCCTGATCCCTCAAACCTTAGAAATGGGTAGGATGCTGTCACCTTCACTTTTGTTTAAAAATGGCACTTGCTATTATCACAGCAACTGTAGAAAACCCTGCTTTGCAACGTTTTGACATCATTGTAGCAGATCTCTTATTGAGACTGAATTACCTTGAGCCAGTGGCTCAGGTAATATCCAGCAAATATCAAGTATCACTGTTTCCCTCAAGAATTAAAAATATCCCACATAGTCCCAGTGAATTCCCTGCGGCACCCTAGGGTAACTTGGTGCACAGTGTGGGAACTGTGAGACTGTTAAAAATTTTAAACTTAATCTCCGGTTTCATAACTCTTAGAAAACTGTGTAAAACTTAAATACCTGCTGTGCCAAATTGCATCATAATATGTGCATATGGCAGGATTTCAGAAAAGGCTGGAATAGTCTAGGAAGTCTTCAAGGAAGAAGACTTATGTTTAACTTTAAAAATAATTTTTTTATGTTTATTTATTTTTGAGAGAGAGAGAAAGAGAGACAGACAGACAGACAGAATCCGAAGCAGGCTCCAGGCTCTGAGCTGTCAGCACAAAGCCTGAGCAAGGGCTTGAACTCACAAACCATGAGATCATAACTTGAGCCAAAGTCAGATGCTCAACTGACTGGGCCACCCAGGCACCCCAAGCATGTGACTCTTGATTTCAGCTCAGGTCATGATCTCATGGTTCATGGGCTCGAGGCCCAAGTTGGGTTCTGTGCTGATAGCATAAAGCCTGCTTGAGATTCTCTTTATCTCTCTCTTTCTCTGCCCTTCCTCCTGCTTGTGCATACTCTCTCTCTCTCAAAATAAATAAATAAACATAGAGACACGAAGCCCAGAGTTTTCTCAAAATTTTCAGTGTATTTTTAGGTAATATTTATGGAAAAAGGATTGATAGTAGTGTTCGCATTTTTATGACTAGTATTTTTTAATTATTAAATTTATTCGTTCAGTACTTGGCAAATCTATAATTCTGATAGCAGTGTAAGTTTGCATTTGTAGTTGAGCTTTTCCAGCTGCTTACACATATGTGAATGGTAGAGTGGTGTGTTTTCACACTGAATTGTCAGACTTTGTATTTTCCTGTATAGGGCTGTAATCAGTGATCCAGAACAAAACTTAACCTCTGAGAGTCAAGAAAGTGTTCGTATCGTTCCAGATTCAAAGATAACACCTCTTCGGTTTAGGAAAAGAACGCTACATGAAACTAAGTAAGAAGACTTCACTTATATCAAATGAAGATGTAGTATGTTATAAATGAATTTTTTTAAAAAATTAAAAAAAATTTTAAATTTATTTATTTCTGAGAGAGAGAGAGAGAGACAGTATGAGCAGGGGAGGGTCAGAGAGAGAGGGAGACACAGTATCTGAAACAGGCTCCACTGCTTATAAGCTAGCTGTCAGCACAGAACCTGACGCGGGGCTCAAACGCACGAACCGTGAGATCATGACCTGAGTCAAAGTTGGATGCCCAACCGACTGAGCCACCCAGGTGGCCCATAAATGAATTTTTTTTAAATGTCCTTGTGTGTCTAACTGAAAAGACCTTTTTATTGGCTTACTTTTGCGTTTTTCTATATAAAGAGAAGTGGAATTTTTGGAGTTCTGCCACTTTAACATATTGGGGTATACTTTGCACTCCAGGTTCCTTATTAGTAATTTAGGAATAAGCTCTACAACCTTAGGAGATAGTATATGTGACAATATACAATGAGACATTTGTATGTGCTGAATCTCATTGATAAAATGTATTCAAAGCTAGTATTGTTCAAAAGTTTATTATTATTATTTTGCCTTTTACGTTGTAGCTTATGAAATCTTTGACCTTTCACAGTTTTGGGGTGCAGTCCACTTAAATTTGTCAGCAGCTTCACTGATGGGTGATGGTTCGCCTCAGTGTCAAGAGACACAAAATCCACGAGTCCCTGCAGCAATACTTCCATATTTTCTGACTGCTAGACATGCCAAGAAGTACTTCTTTAGAACTGTTGTCTTTTGTTTCATTCTTATTTTCTGGAAGACTCTGTTTCCATACCTTTAAATACTCAAAGGTATTGTGTACTAATTTCCTATGGCTGCTGTGACAAATTGCCACAGACAATCTTTTAAGGCAACTTAAATTCATCCTCTTACAGTTCTTGAGGTCGGAAGTCTAAAAGCAAGGTGTTGACGGGGCTTCCTTCTGGAGGCTTCGGGAGAGAATCCATTTCCTTGTCTCTTTCAGCTTCCAGAGGCTGCCGTTAGTCCTTGGCTAATGGTCTCTTCCTCTGTGTTCAAAGGCAGCAGTGGCTGCTTGTCCTTGGGTTTTATCCCTCTGACATTCCCCTTCTGCCATCACAATATCCCTCTGCTTTCCTCTCATAAAGGAAATAGCCTTGAATCCAGCTGGATAATTTCAGATAATCTCCTCATCTCAAGATCTGGAATCACACATGCAAAGTCCCTTTTATCAAATCATGTAATTGTAACATATTTACATATTCTGAGGTGCAGGGTATGAACAACTCTGGAGGGTCATTATTCAGCTAACACATCTAAATTTCTCTTTTTGTTTTTAAAGTTTATTAATTTATTTTGAGAGGGGGGTGGGGGTCACAGAGAGAGGGAGACAGGGAGAATTCCAAGCAGGCTCCACACTGTGGGCACAGAGCCCGACTCGAGGCTTGAACGCACAAACTGTGAGATCATAAGCTGAGCTGAAATCAAGAGTTAGATGCTTAACCATCTGAGCCGCCCAGGTGCCCCTCAACGTTTTATTTTTTTTAAAGTAAACTTTTATTGAAATGAAGTATATGTCCATAAAGTGTATACAGCTTAAGTGTACAGCATAGGAATTTCCACAACCTGAACAATACTCACGTCCCAAATTCCTACATCAAGAAATAGAACATTACGAGCATCCCAGAAACTCCCTTGTGCTGCCTCCCAGTTACTATCCACTTCCTCTGCCATAACAGGGTAACGTCTCTGTTTTGGTATCATAGATGGTAACTGCCCTTTTATAACCTTACTGAAGTCACAAAATTTAGATACTATGTATCTGGCTTTTCTTACTCAACATGTTTATGAGTTTATCCGTGTTGTTATTTGTAGTTGTCTTTTATTCTCACTGTACAGTATTTCATTGTATATAAATATGCCACAATTTATTTATTCACGATGTAGAAGGACATTTGGCTGTTCCACAGTGGTGCTTCTATGAACTTTGGTGCATGCCTTTTGATGAACATATGTACTCATTTCTGCTCAGTACATACTTAGAAGTGGAATTGCTGGACCATCCAGTATGCATAGCTTTAAAAACTACCGCTGAATAGTTTTTCAGAGTGGTGGCTGCAGTTAGCACTCTTACCCGTAGCAGTAAGAGGATGCTAGTTCACTACATCTTTACTGGTGCTGAGTATTGTCAGTGTTTTTCATCTTAGTTCTTCTTTTTTTAAAAAATTTATTTCTAGGAGAGAGAGAGAGAGAGCGTGAGCAGGGGAGGGTCAGAGAGAGAGGGAGGCACAGACTCTCAAATAGGCTCCAGGCTCTGAGCTGACAGTCAGCACAGAGCCTGACGCAGGGCTTGAACCCACGAACTGTGAGATCATGACCTAAGCGAAAGTCGGACGCTTAACCAACTAAGCCACCCAGGCGCCCCTCATCTTAGTTCTTCTTATGGGTGTGTATCGGTATCCTCTGATGTGAAATAGAGATCCTTTTACATGAAACTTTCCTTTGAGTCTTTTGGGTTATCTTTTTCGCATTGATCTGTGGAACTTACCTATATATTCTTGTTACAAGTCCTTTTTCAGTTAATATTTGTTGGACAGATCTTTTCCTCCTCTGTGGTCACCTTTTCATCTTCTTGATTGTGTCTTTTGTTGAATAGGAGTTCCTAATTTTTATGTAGACCAGTTCATCGATCTTTCCATTTATTGTTAGTGTACTGTGTATCTTTAGGACATTTCTGCCTATCACAAACTCACTGTCCCTCTGACTTATAATGCTGCTTATATCCTAATATATCAAATTATTATAAATGCATGGTTGGTATCTAGACTTTTCCTTCAGTCTCATCTCCCTGTTGTGTATTCCTGCACCAATATCATCTTGCCTTAATTGGTATTGCTTTCTATTAGAGTAAATACCTGTATGTTGTTAACCCTCAATATTGGCTTGATATACTATGCCCTTTCCTCTTCAATATATATAAACTTTATTTAATTTATTTTTTTAATTTATTTTTTAATGTTTATTTTTGGCGAAAGAGAGAGAGAGCACGAGTGGGTGAGGGACAGAGAGAGAGGGAGACACAGAATCTGAAGCAGCCTTTAGTCTGAGCTGTCAGCACAGAGCCCGACTTGGGCTTGAACTCATGAACTGCAAGATCATGACCTGAGCTGGAAGTTGGATGCTTAACCAATTGAGCTACCCAGGCACCCCACTTCAATATAAATTTTAGATTGAGCCTAGATCAGTGAAAAGTACTATGGGGGTATTAGTTAGAATTACTGAATTTATGGATTTCATCCTCCGTCATTCATTCTTCCTGGAGAAGGAGAAGAGGATTCTGCCTCACAGAGTTGGACGGGGGGATAGACAGGTGTAGGGCAGCCCTTCCTCATCCCTTTTCCTTGGGAGCCAGCTGCCTGCAGATGCTGCTCAAGGCATTACATTTTGCAGGATCCCTAGTTGGAATGAGTGGGTTTTTCATTCTAGTGTTAAGGATGTTAGCTTGTTGCTTCATTCCTAAACCATGGTTTCCAATAGCTTTATATCAGTAATAAAATTCATATTTTGATCTGCATCTGCCTGATTCTTATTTTGTATTGGTGAAGATCTTGGGTAGAGGGAAGTGTTTGGTACTACTTACTGGATACCTAAAACCCTAAAATAGAACTTTGCATTTATAATATAAATGTCTTATTTACCTCTTTTATCGTTTCATGGACACTCTAGACTCCATGAAGCTATTACTTCAACCTGTCACTGTTAAATCGAAATCTATTCCTCTTTGAGAAGCAATATAATATAACGGTTATGAGCAAGGTTGGGCTCTGTCATACACTAATTATATGACTCTGTAAAATTTATTTGTAAGATGGGATAATAGTATTTACTTCATGGAGTTATTGCAAGCATTGAATGGACCAATGCACATTTAAGTACATTTAATAATGACTGATGTCTAGGAAGTTCTCAATAAATAGTGGCTGTTATTGGTGTTATTTTCTCGACTTTTAGAATTTTTTTAGGCCTGTAGTGAGCATTCAATATACACATTACTACTAATGGATTAAATTGAATTGAGATGACAATCTTTCACGGCTCCACTCTGTGTTCACAAAATCCTTCGGTCCGTAAGCTCTCGTTGTCTGTATCCTGTTTGCCTTTCACAGAGACTTAGATTTTATAGAAGCATTACTTTGCGAGATTCTGATGACCCATATACTTACTTACTGTTTTCATTATTGCAGTTTCATTATACCTGCAGCTTTATTGGAGTGCCATAAAATAATTTAGGAAAGAGAGTAAAGACACATCACCAAATCTTCAAATTTCTTAATATAAAGGAGATTACTAGTTGTAGGGTGCCAGTGTGTGGACATTTGTGTTTTATTTCATATTATTAAACAGAATTTTAGGACTAGCAGTCTCCCTGAGGTCATTTTGTGCTACCCGAAGGCCATAAGATTAAATGAGCAGCCTGAGGCCCCAGAGCAAGACCTCTCCCAAGGCTGGAGCCACCCCCAGCACTCTTTCCACTCTTCTGTTATGTTGGTAAGGAATGGTTTCAGCTGCCCATGACTGAAAACCTGACTGATAGTGACTTAAATAAGTCAGGATTTATTTTTCTTACATAACCAGTAGCCTGGAGGTAGTGGCTGGTTTCAGTTCGGTGGCTCAGCGATGACGCAGCTCTGGGCTGGCTTCCTCAAGAGATTATTGGCCTTTCTGACGTGCTTGCCTGATGCTACAGCGGCTCCTAGCATCTCATCCCTGCCGCGTTCACAGGCAGGAACGGTTCCTATGCAACTTTCTTGCCAGGATAAAAGAAAGTCTTTCCTGGAAGTTACTGGCAGAGCTTTGTCCCTTACTTACCTCTAATGGAAATAAGGTAAAAAAGCAACTTATATGGTTGGAGGGAGGCATATGAGAACAGGGTTAGAAATAGCTGCAGGTAGGACCAGTTACAAATGTTCTGTTTATTTGTGTCACACTTTGGCACAATAGTTCAACACAGAAATCATTCACGTGTTGTACACTGTCTCTCCGGTTATTTCCTCTGAGTAAGCCTCAGTGAGCACTCAGAAAAAGGGGGGGAGGTTTATAACTTCATCTTCATTGTGTGCATTTCAAAATACCAACATAACTTTTTTTTTTGTACTTTATCATTTACATTAAGTGTAGGTAACTTTAAAATAATTATTGACCAATGTATTTCTTAACAGGATAAGAACCCATTCTACATTAACTGAAACCGTGCTTTCTCACAAAGTACAGTTTGATGGTAGGATCGTATCAAGGTAATTGTGATTTTATTAAACTTGTAATTCTACATTTATAAGAACAATATTCTCTTCAAATAGGAATAAGAATAATGAGATTAGTTAGAGATTTGTCACATTTAAATGAAAAACATGAATTTAGAATGGACATTTTAGGTAATATATATTAATATGTTGCAAAAATTATAGGAATGAGGAACATGTAAATAAGACATTTTAATTAGAAGTTACTTAAAAAGTGATTTTTAAATGTCTTTCAAAAAGGAACTTAGAAGTGAATTTTTTGAAGATATATACTACGAGTAGAGGGTAGTAGGCCATTTAAAGATTAACCTTTATGTAAACTGCTTTATTTTATTTTCTCCTAATGGCTTAAATTACTAGTAGATTATTGATAGATACAGGAAAGTGAGAAGGAAGATGATTCTCAAATATCTCTGTCTTATAAACTTCCAATCATACATAATGCTGATGTTCTTTGTGTATATTAAAGGTGAAGTGTGTTTTTAAAATTTATCATGTTTGTTTAGTGATTTTAAGCTTTTTTCTATTCTTAAAGTTTTTTTTTTAATGTTTATTTTTGAGAGAGAGAGAGACAGAGCATGAGCAAGAGAGGGAGGGCAGAGAGGAAAAGAGACATAGGCTCCAGGCTCTGTGCTGTCAGCACAGAGCCCAATGAGGGGCTTGAACTCACAAACCGTGAGATCATGATCTGAGCCAAAGTTGGATGCTTAAATGAGTGAGCCACCACGTGCCCCTTAAGCTTTCTATCAATGACAGAAATGATAAGTGTCTATCCTTGAGTGGCTTCTTGCAAGTTCAACATTTTTTAAGGTCTTTCACTTTATCTTAAAAGTCTTTGTCAGAATAGTCATCTACATTGTAATGGATCTATAATCACATCAGTGTAAGGTAAAGCTTTTTCCCCATCCAAATCTTACTTGACACGTCAGCAAGCCAGGCCGTGTTTCGCCTGTAGCTGTCCATAACCCTTGCGCATTGCCACACGTTCAACAGAGTTATGCTCTTCTTTAACATACAAAATTCTGGTTTATTGTTTAATTTGAAAATGAGCCTATTTGAAAATCTTTAATATCATTCTGTTTTTCTAGAAATGGACATGATGCTTGCAGAGAGCTGATTGGGTTCTTTTTTACTCACGACCAGTCCCTAACAGTTTATGAATATCGGCAATTTGGGAAAAATAGGTATGCCATAAAGCATTGTTACAACTCTCAAGATGATGACTTCTGAGAGAAGCTGACTAACTTCACATTTTTGTCATTTAACTTCTAGGACAAATGTGCTTCCTTTCATTCAAAAAAACATTTATAGTCATCAGTGTGGACGAAGAAAAGGAAAACAATACCAACTTGGTGATTTCTATATTGTAAGTTGGGCGTGTGTGTATGCAAATGTTTTAATATCAGATGTTGAATTTTGTGGGATTCTGTGGGGGTGGAAGAACGGAGTTTCTGGCTTTCAGTTTATTACCTCTGTTCCTTACAGAGCAGGGGTATTTGTGAGAGTGGCTAATGGTTGATCTTTTCCCAGGAGGTTCTGCCTCTCAGGTCCAGATCCCAGTGGCCTGAATGTAAGCATAGCATTTATTCCCTGTAACACGCTACCATTTCCACACATCTGCAATACAAGTTTGGGAGAGCTTGTCTCTTGGTACTTTTAAAAGCCCTCAGGATGTACCACTAGGTAAGTGGCTACTTCAGTAGTACCAGGAGTAATGCTCCACATAATGTAGGCTTGTCTCCCGAAGATGCATGTTTTTCTCCATGTCATATATCTGGTGGTTAGCTTACCCTCCTTGTGATTTCCCCACTTCACACAACTACTGACTTACGGCGTATAACAACGGTTCCCTAGAATAGGTTCGTCTTAGGTAATAGTACAATTTGCATAGTGCTCTTAAATTTTATTTATTTATTTATTTATTTTTTTTAAGTAAGCTCTACGCCAAACATGGGGCTTGAACTCATGACCCTGAGATCAGGAGTCACACACTCTATGGACTGAGCCAGCCAGGCACCCCTAGTGCTCTTAAATTTTAAATTACTAAGTTTATAGTATCTCAAATGTAGCACGACCGACAGTGACCATCCACATAACACATATATACTCCTAGTATAAGCATTGGAGATACAACAGTGAATGAGTTAAGTCCGTTCCTGACTTTCATGGAGGGAAACCCAAAACTGACCTAGAAAAGGAGTTAGCTGGGCTGGGATAAGTAGATAGGGGAGGATAGGGACAGGCTTCTGGGTTGAGACGGCTCATGCGAAGAACAAAAGCATGAGAGAATGTGGTTTATTTGGAGACCTGGAAGTAGTTAGTCTGGCTGAACTTTAGTTCGAGGTAAGAGTTGACACAAGATGAATCAGAGCTTACTAAGAGTAGCCTTTTTTAAATTTAAAAAAATTTTTTAAATGCTTTATTTCTGAGAGAGAGAGAGAGACAGCGTGAGCAGGGGAGGGTCAGAGAGAGAGGGAGATGCATAATCTGAAACAGTCTCCAGGCTCTGAGCTGGCTGTCAGCACAGAGCCTGACATGGGGCTCGAACCCACGAACCATGAGATCATGACCTGAGCTGAAGTCAGACGCTTAACCGACTGAGCCACCCAGGCACCTGAGAGCAGCCTTATATTAAAGAGTTATCTAAAATATATTGGGGAGTCACTGAAAGATGAGAGGTGATGGTAATGAGGAGAGCTGACATTATTCAGTTTGTGATTTAGAAAGATCTTTCTACTTACAATATGGGAATGGATTGAAGACTAGTGGAAAGAACCATATTGGATTGAATAATGTTAATTAAGAAGGAGGTAGTAGCAATCTGAATGAGACAAGTGGCTGTGGCTATGAAGCTAGTTAGAAAAAAATTTTAAAGTCTCCAGGAGGCAGAATCAGTAAGATGTTGTGACTAGTTACATGAGGAGTTGAGGTGAGGAAAAACTTTACATCTTAAACTTGGATTAAATAAATATACTAAACATGTCAGTGTAGCCTGCCTCTTGATATCTAGAGAACATCAGCTCCAACTCCCATTTCACAACCTGCAGAAAGAACGTTTCATGTTTATCCCAGAATTAAAGTTACCTCTTGCTCTGAGCTGCTGATGCTCTAATGATTTAGTGTAGTTTATGATTTATCCCCACTATCCGTGTTCTGTATTACTTGAGCCGGATGTAGAACTCTGCTCCTTTTTATGATTTCCAAGAAACAAATGGGGTGGAGAGGAGAAGGAAGAAAGATAAAAGAATAAAGGGAGAGAGAGAGAGAGGAATGGAAGGATGTAGGAAAGAAAGTAGGAAAGAAAGGGAGGGAACCCACACACAAACCGTGTGTAACCCACACACAAACCGTGTGTGTGTGTGTGTGTGTGTGTGTGTGTGTGTGTGTATGATCCTTAGTGTGGCAGACATTTTGAAGGGCCTAATAGAGGGAGATTTATATTTCGTCAGTGTAAGCAACTTACAATAGATATTCTTATTCTTAAAAATAGGTCCCTTAACTATTTCCCATGGTATAGGTCCTCTCCATTTTCTGACTCCTTCCACCTCTTGCTCTTCTGAGAATCTTCCATTTCTGTATGCAGGAATATTGGGTTTATCTTCCTTTTTTGAGAGAGTAGGGGCAGGTCTTGTCTGTCTTCCAGGTGTTATTCTGAAACTTACCTTTTCACTTCTGTGTGCTTCTTCAAGGTCCTTTCCCAGACACTCCCTGAAAGAAATTTTAATGCTAGCTGTTAAGATAATACTCATATAAGCATGCACATGTGCCCAGACACACATGCATAAAAAGTGCACCCACATACGTTAACTCACAAGTATGCTTTGGATGTCCTGACTTAGAACACATAGAAGTACATGCACACATATATGTATACATACATATGCTTATAGGCATTACCCTACTACACATATCATATAGTCTCTTTCATTGCTTAATATAATCATTTCAAAAGAATTTATATACATTTTAAAGAATAGAGAAAATACCGTAGTTACAAGTTTTTAAAGTAAATACTCCAGGAAAAAGGAAAGAAATCTCTTCCTTTACTTGCAAGAGAGGTGATTAAGCCCCTTATTTTAATTTGTGTTTGTCCATATTTGGCCATATTTATTTGAGCAACTCAGAAATTAAAATAATTTTCTCAGTTGGGATTAGAGATTTTTGGCAAGAATTTTTTCACCAAAGCCTTGCTGCTCCAGTTAGATTACAATTAGTTTTACATTTATGTAGTGTTTGTTCCAAAAGACCAGGTGAAGGAGGGTGATGGATCCATGACAGTTCATCAGTTTGCAGTACATCGTTCTGTGAATCAAGAGTCCTATTTCTGAATTTAAGGATGTCATAATTAAATACCTGTCCTTTCTCCCTCTCACTCTTATAAAAAGTTGGAGTTCTTCTTTTTTCACGTTAGGTGTTAAATCAAAGATTGTTCTAATTGAGAGATTGATTGGGAAATTATTTCCTTAATTTCCAATATTATTAACTGAAGCCTGTGTGGTTTCTAAATATTCTTTAAACATACTTTCTTATAGTATAAAAGTACGCTATGCCACATACAATCCAAATTGAATATTTAAAATTAGTATCAGTTGTATTTTACTTCTTATATACTTTCTAGCTTTAAATAATTCATCTGGGTGGCTCAGTCGGTAGAGCGTCTGACTTCAGCTCAGGTCATTATCTCAAAGCTTGTGAGTTCCAGCTCCACGTTGGGCTCTGTGCTGACGACTGAGAGCCTGGAACCTGCTTCAGATTCTGTGTCTCCCTCTCTCTGCCCCCTCCCTGGCTTCTGCTCTGTCTCTCTCTTTGTCTCTTTCTCAAATGTAAATAAACAGTAAAAACATTTTAAAAATTCATCTGTTAATTTCTTTAGGGTGCAAACTTGACATTTTTGAGTTCTGATCATCCCAGACTTCCAGAAAGCATAAAAGAAAACACATTACTTATACTTCGAATCACTAATATTGATCATAAAGCTTTGGATTCTCTCAAGTAAGTAAAATATGCATTTGTCATTTTGAAAGTAAGTGAAAATACTATTTTGTATGATCTTAAAATGATATTCTATCCTAGAGCATTTTGATTTAAGATAAGGTTTATATTTTGAAAAACAAAGCATAGATTTGTCTCCTTTATGTGCTATATTGTACTCAAATACACTTCATGTGTGGGAATAGTTAAATGGACATCAAATGTCCCATTTCCAGTTAAAGGTATTTTATTAATTTGCCTGCACTATATCATCTTTATTTTACCAAATGCCACCAAAGTGATCAATTTTAAAAGGTAGGCTATAGTACAATATTATGGTGTTTCCCACATTTTTAATGTAATGCTTTTTTTTTTTAACACTTTTATAGTATTCATGGATTGATGGTATACATAATGAAAATAAAAGGGTTATGAATCAAAAAGTGCTTTTAAATGAATTTGAGTTTTTTTTAATCACAGAATATTTATTATATAAAACATACATTTTAAACAGATTTTATTTTAGAGAAAGAGAAAGGGAGAGCGAGCAAGAGGGGTAGAAAGGCAGAGGAAGAGAGTGAGGATCTTAAGCAGGCTCCACACTCAGCAAAGAGCCCAACTTGGGGCTTGATCCCATGACCCTGGGATCATGACCTGAGCCAAAATGAAGATCAGACACTCCACCAACAGAGCCACCTAGGTGCCCCCAAACATGTATTATTTATATATATTTTATAATATATAGGCATGAACATGTCAATTGCAATATATATTATTTATATATATATTATAATATATATTCTGTGATTTAAAGGAATTCAAATTCATTTAAAAATGTTTTGATTCAAAGTATTGTATATAAATAATGTATGTTTTATATATATCCATATTTATATATAAGTGATATATATAAGTAAAATGTAAAATACATAATCAGAATATATAATAAAATATATTTTTTAAGTCACAGAATATATCTGTATATATGCTATTCTTCCTGATTATTTCTCGGTGCTATATGCATATGAGAATGACAATAATTGTTGTACTGTATGTGCATTAGAGACCACATCCCATAAATTGGCTAAAGGAAATCTGTTTCTTTGTTATATGCCTGTATTGCTCAAATGCATGCATTTTTTTTTTTTTGCCTTTTAAGATCACACGTTTACATTTTGTACTTTGAAAGTTAAAACTGATTTTAAGTTTTATAGTTTTAATTATTTTAAAAGAACATTGAAGTAGCTACAAAATGAATATAATGTTTAAAGGTAGTTCTTGGGAGGCTTAAGGATCTTAGGTCTTGATTTAGCATATTTATCTTCTGGGGATTAAAACAGCAAGCAGAGGTGGGACTTGATCTGAGCACTCTTCCAACTCTGAGAGTTTTCCTTGAGTCTGGAACAGGGAAGAGTTTAGAGTTTCCATTCTCAAAACTGCAAAACAATATATTTTTATCATCGTGAACATGTCAATTGCAGAGCTGATTCTGTGGAACTTGAGGATATAGCCAGCCAAGAAGCCAATGACAGGCTTGTCTTAAACGCCATCCAAGGTACGGGTCATTACCACAGTCTCAAGTCTTCAACCATTCTCTTTGCAAGCAGTAAAGTATTTTCCAGACATTTCTTAATTTTATAACAAAGGCACTTGATTTATATTTCTTATTTGCTTATTTTTAGCAGTTTATGTATGTATTTAAAAATATTTTTAAGATTTCTTCTATTTTAATGATTCTGTTTAATTGAATAATATTATATGAATTATGAATTTAAAAATTTTATTTTGTTTTATTTTTTTATTTTAGAATGAGAGCACACATGAGCAGGGGAATGGGGCAGGGATTGTAGTGGGGGGTAGGGGTGAGGGAGAAGAGAGAGAGAGAGAGGGAGAGAATCCCAACATGAATCTCATTCCCAGTCTAGCACTTTTTCTTTTACAAGAGGCTACTATAAATCTCTTTAGGTTATCATCTAATGCATAAGACAAGTATATTACAAAAATCACATTTTATTCATTTCATGGATAAAACCCATACTATCTAGTACTTTCTAAAATTCTTAAATTTGATGTGCCTGGGTGGCTTAGTCAGTTGAGTGTCTGACTCTTGATTTTGGCTCAGGTCTTAATCTTAGAGTTGTGGATTTGAGCCCTGCTCCAGGCTCTGTGCTGACTGTATGGAGCCTGCTTGGGATTCTTTCTTTCCTTCTCTCTCGGCCCTTCCCCTGCTTGCTCTCTCTCTTAAAATAAACAAACATTTTACAAAAAAGTTGTCTTGGATTGGTGTTTGAACTGTCCAATATTCTTGATGTTATTGTTAGTAAATTATTTTCTCTGTTCTCACATGGTCAGTACAATATTTGTCACTGTTGAATCCAGTGACCTGTGTGTTTTATTGTATTTAATAACTGCTCTGTAAAGTTAACTATATTTTCTTAACTAACGATGGCACGAACTATGTTAAATGTAATCACTGACCCACAAAGAGAATGCGAGGAGCTTGAGAATATAATGCAAAAATTCCTAGAAGAAAGGGCTACTTGAAATGTGTAAGTATAAGACAACATTCCAAAGCCTTGATGCTATTTAAAATGTAAGTTATGCTTTGACAATTTCAAACTATTTTAGAAATTTTGAACTTGTTATTTTTGAGTGATCTGCCTTGGCATCAATTTTAATTATAGGAAAGAGGAAAGAGATTTAAGATGTGGAATCATTAAATGAAGAGGAAACCTGTGAAGTAAAAACTAAGATTTTATTTGTAACATTTGGATTATTTTTATCCTGATAAAGTGATCCATTATTTTTGTGTACTTAAAATACAGCACTTCCACCACACAGTGGTGCTATAGTTCTAGTATATTTACATGTGATTTTGTATCTAACACTGTACTAAAAGCATTCTATTTTCCAAACTCTTTTGTCAGTCATACACACACTCTAGTTGCATATTCACATAGCTCAGATCACTTACATCAGCTTTAGTTTTCTTACAAGAGAGACAATTGTAATTTGATACATTTGTTTATTGGAACAATTGGTTTCCATCTCTCTTCTTCCTAAACAGATGCGCTAAAGGAACAGCTACACAAAAGAGGTGTTCGTATTTTGACTGGATTGGGAAAATACCTTCAACAGTTGGACAAGGAAGGAACTAGACTTTTAGATAAGGCAGATTTTAAGCAAGCTCTAAAAATATTCCACTTAGAAGTGTCTGAAAACGTATGTGCTGCAATGAGTAACAGTATTCTTATGTGATATTATTTCTTATTCTAGTGAGATTTTAGTAGTTCATGTGTCATAATCAATGTTAGCCATCAAGCTACAAGTCCTGTTGATTTTTAAAAAATTTCAATATTCATTCCTCCCTCTTGCATTTAACAAGAGCCTAATGAGTAAGCATTGTTCTCCGCTCCGAGAACACATACTCCGTACTCTTAAGGTCTTCATAATCAAAGGAAAAGAAAGATAAAAAGATTACAAAACACTGTGTGTGTTAAGTAGAGAATGCTTTCAGAACACATGGGACATATTCCAAGCCAGCTTATGGGGAAGGAGAGGGAAGATCACAGGATTCCTGGAGGAAGGTATAGCCGAGCTGCCTTTTGAAGGATGAGGAGGAACTAAACACATAAGAGGGGAGGAGGAGTGTGGATCAGACAGCGAGGCTTCGCAACAGGAGAAGCACATGTAAAGGCATGAAGGGGAGACGGAGTGTAGTCTGTTCTAGGAATCGCAGAGGTCACCCTCACACCCCCTACCCCTACCAGAGCCATTACACATCCCGTTCTCTGTTCTGGGGGCAGTCTCGCACTGGACCTTTGCATCGCTGATTTTCCATCATTCTCTCTACTGGGAGCACGACACTGACAGTTCTGTCTAAAGGAGTTCCCCATGTGATCCCCGGTCCTCTCTATACCATTTACCATTTTATTTTCTTTATGCCACCTTGGAAGTCTTCTCGGGCTTTTCTGGCCAAGCAGGGTGTGAGTTCCATCAGGGAAGAGACCAAGGTGCTTCAAGCTTCCTGGTGTAACACCTCAAGTAGACCCTTGCATATGCAGGTGCCGAGTAAACAGATGATGCATTAGTTTACATGGGTAGGTGTATGGAAGGAAGGAAAAGAGAATGGAGAGAAATAAGCCTAGCAAGGTTCTGTTACATTAAAGCCTTGCATGCCATGCTACACTTGGGTTTTATTTTAACAGTGAATTTGAAACACATCTACCTCAAGGGTTTCAGATAAAAGAGTCTCTTGCATTGTTCTCTCTTGCTTCACATGATCTTGTCACAAGACTTATGAGATACAGATTCAAGTTCTGGCGTTACTACTTCAACTGTGTGATTTTGAATAGGTCTTTTAACTTTTCTAATGGACGGGCTTTGCCTGGACAATCCACAGATGGTACCTATAGTCAGAGTTTGTTTGAACCTTAGATGAGAAAATTACATGGGAATATATCTTATTTTTATTAATTTTTAAAAAGTTTATTTATTTATTTTGAGATACAGAGAGAGCGAGTAGGGAAGAGGTAGAGAGACACAGAGAGACACAGAATTCCAAGCAGGCTCCTCGCTGCCAGCGCAGAGCCAGATGCAGGGCTCAACCCCATGAAATCGTGAAGTCATGACTTGAGCTGAACCAAGAGTCAGACACTTAACAGACTGAGCCACCCAGGTGCCCCATCAGGCTCATTTTAAAACTCAGGAGCACATTTTACAGACACTTAAAGTCAGCCATGTACTGGGCATTATGACAGACAAATTAGGAGTTGTTGAAAAGTGTGGGGGGGGGGTGGTGACAGGGCATCTTAAGATGTAGTTTTCTTATTAGAATTTTAATTGAAAAAAGTAGGAGGAAGCGGAAGAGAACTATTTGAGTACGTATTTGTCAGTCACCTTGCTAGATACCTTATTTACATTCTCACTTAAAGCTAACAACTTGACTGAAACATTGAAAGTATATTTACCTCAGTTTAAGAAAACCTCATGCTGTAATCTCTTTGATGTTAGGAACTTTGTGAATAGAACATTCTACTAAGTTGTGCATTTGCAGCGGAGTAAGTGGCAACGGTAAAATGAACCAACTGGCATAAGGTTTTACTGAAAATAACACCTTTCAGTGTGAATAATGGAATAATATTGGAGCCATTCAAATCTTTTGTACTTTGAAACATGAAGACTAGAAATACTGTTAGTGGTCCTAATGCTTTTGAAGCATTGCAGAACCTGAAGTGATTTTTTAATTGTCACAGATACAATACATCAAACATAATCAAATGCTCAAATTCAAGTAAATGGTAAGCATTTTTGTACAGAGAGGATTTGAACTTAAAATATAAATTTGTGACATTGCCACTGCTAAATGGTCCTCAACTTACAGAACTGTTCACCACAGAGTTCCTTTAAATAGCTTTCTCAGTCCCTTTGCAAGCTTTCTTAGTGCTTTTGTTTGGGTTTATATATAACTTTTTGGAAGTTTTAAATTAAGTCTGTTACCTTGCCTGGGGCTAAAGTAGTAACAAAATATATTAAGATGAATTTTATTGTGGTCATATACAATTTTAAGGTGAAACAGTGGTATCTGTGTGAATATTTCTAGGATTTTGAGTCTGCATGGCAAATTCTGAATGGCAATGGCAGTGGCAAGGTTGATTACGGAGAATTCAAACGTGCCATTATTGGTGAAATGAATGAGTACAGGAAATCATTTGTTCGAAAGGTAACTTTGTCAAGCAAATCTTTTAAATAGTTACTCTTAATAAGGTGTTGGGCTCATTTTTAAAAAAAATTTAATGTTTATATATGAGAGAGAGAGAGAGAATGAGAAAGAGCATGCAAGTGGAGGAGGGGCAGAGAGAGAGGGAGACACAATACAAAGCAGGCTTCAGGCTCTGAGCTGTCAACACAGATGTGGGGCTCAAACTCATGAGATCATGACCTGAGTCAGACTCTCAACCAACTGAGCCACCTAGGCACCCTAGGCCTCATTATTTTAAAACTTCATTGAATTACTATTGAACACATTTATGTATTTATGTATATATGTATTTAGAGTGTGTGCAAGCAGGGGAGGAGCAGAGAGAGAGGGAGAGAGAATCCCAAGGAGGCTCTGTGCTGACAGCACAGATCCTGACCTGGAGTTTGATCCCGTGAACCATGAGATCATGACCTGAGCCTAAATCAAGAGTCAGACCCTTAAGTGACTGGGCCGCCCAGGCGCCCCACCATTGAACATGTTTTAAATCTCTTTATCTGTCATTTGTTTTGGGTTTAGCAAAATACAACCACGTATACATATGCAAATCTACCAGGATAAAGCAAAATAATTTATACATATGTTTTAGGAATAGATTTTATTTTATTTAAAATTTTTTTAAACATTTATTTATTTATTTATTTATTAATATTTTTATTTATTTCTAGGAGAGAGAGAGACAGCGTGAGCAGGGGAGGGTCAGAGAGAGAGGGAGATACAGACTCTGAAATAGGCTCCAGGCTCTGAGCTGGCAGTCAGCACAGAGCCCGACGCGGGGCTCGAACCTACCAACCATGAGATCATGACCTAAGCGAAAGTCGGACGCTTAACCGACTAAGCCACCCAGGCGCCCCAAACATTTATTTATTTTTGAGAAACAGAAAGAGTATGAGTGGGAGAGGGGCAGAGAGGGAGAGAGAGAGAGAGAATTTGTATGAAGCGGGCTCCAGGCTCTGAGCTGTCAGCATAGAACTCAAGGTGGGGCTTGAACTCATGACCTGAGCCCAAGTCAGACGCTTAACTGACTAGCTACCCAGACGCCCCAGGAACAGATTTTATTTTATTTTATTTTTTTTATTTTTAAATGTTTTTATTTATTTTTAGGAGAGACAGAGACAGACAGCGTGAGCAGGGGAGGGTCAGAGAGAGAGGGAATCACAGAATGAAACAGGCTCCAGACTCTGAGCTGGCAGTCAGCACAGAGCCCGACGCGGCGCTCGAACCCACGAACCGCGAGATCATGACCTAAGCGAAAGTCGGATGCTTAACCGACTAAGCCACCCAGGCGCCCCCCCAGGAACAGATTTTAAAAAAGAAAGTAAAACATGAAATTAAATTTTGGTTCACAAATTAATAGTCCCATAAATTGTTGGCTCCATAAATGACTAGTTATATGACTATTATCAAATATCTTTGAGCCTTAGTTTTGTCTCATAGACTTAGTATAAGGATTAAACATGTAAAGTTTTAGCATTATGTCTATTCCATTGTCAAGGTTCAATACGTGTTATCTGAGGATGATGACCAGAGATGTTTCTCTGGTTTTTATAATATGCCTCTTAGCTATTCAAATGAAGATTAAAATGACTGTGTTAAATTGGAATTAAAAACAGGACCCCTGGGGTCCTTGGGTGACTCAGTTGGTTAAATGTCTGACTCTTGATTTCAGCTCAGGTCATGGTCTCATGGTTCATGGAATTGAACCCCACATCAGACTCCATGATTCCAGCATGGAGCCTGCTTGGAATGCTCTCTCTCTCTGCTCCTCCCCTGCTCACACTCTTTCTCTCTCAAAATAAAGAAATAAAACTTAACAAAACAAAACAGAAACCTTGATTTTTATAGAAGGTAGTATTACTCAGGTTCTTGGAGCCATTTTCAGAGCATACTTTTGAGCAACGTAGTTTCTTTTTATTTTGTATATGTACCTAATAGAAAATGTATATGTATCTAATATTAGAAACAAAGCTATTGTGTACAGAAAAATATAAATAATTACATTAGGTATAAATCGGAAATAGAAAATAACAAAATCTTTATATTTGCTGGCCAAAAGACCCAAAAACTTTATGTTAAATGAATTTGCCACATAATATTTATAAATGTGCATTTATTTGTGCTTTACATGTCCTGGTGACAGGTTTGAATATCAGGAGTAGAAACTAGAGGGTTGTCTCTTTCCTAATCTTGATGCTGTGAATAAAGGACAAAAGTAGAGTTATAAAGTACTATATTAATTCTCCAGGGCTGCGTAACAAATACTACAGACCTGGTGACTTAAATAACAGAAATTTATTGTCTCACACTTTTGAAGGCTAGAAGTCCAGGATCAAGATGTCAGCAGGTTTGGTTTCCCTTGAGGCCTCTGTCCTTGGCTTGTGATTGACTGTCTTTTCTCTATGTCCTCATACCCTCAGTCTGGTTGTCTGGGTCGTATACTGACACCAGTTATACTGGATTAGGGCTCATCCTAGTGATTTCATTTCAACTTAATTACTTCTTTAAAGGCCCCATCTCCAAATAACAGTCATATTCTGAGGTATAGGATGGGTTAGGGCTTCAACACATGAATTAGGGGAAAACAGATCATCAGCCCATTATAGGTACCATATTTCTGTGAACACATTATCATGAATAAACAAACTTGATTCTAGTTTTGACTCTTGCAAATGTGGGCTGTTGTTTCGAGTAGGTTTTGTGTTTCTATATGCCCACTTCTCTTCTCCATAAATTTTAAATTTTATGATACTAAAAATTGTATTGAATTAGCAGAGCAATAAAACAACTGGCATATCAAAAGGTAGTGTTAAATTTTAGAAAATGGAGTAACACAGGCCATTTAAAAAGTATTGTAATTTCTCACTGGTTTTAGTGATGAATATTTACATGTTCACTTTTTGAATCAAAGTAATTTGTCTTGGCCATTTACCAGTTTCCTGTAAATTCTAGAGCAGGAAGTTACCAGAAAGGTATTCAACTCTAAAGTGTGAGAGGAAAGCCAGGGCAACAGAGGTCAGGTTACTTTCTCAATGTCAGGATTCCAGGAAGTAGTAGAAATAATACTGGAGTGTAGGTTACCTAACATCTTGCTCTAATATCTTCCTGGATTCATGATGCTTCCTTCATATAGTTTAGTACTTTTAAACTGGCTTGTTTAGAGCTCATAAATAACTTTCTTCCGAATAGGGAGTTAGGTTCTCATGTCTAATGAGTTCATAGGAAAAAAAAATAACATCTCTCTTTATTTAGGCCTTTATGAAACTGGATTTCAACAAAACTGGCTGTGTGCCTCTTATAGATATAAGAAAATGTTATTGTGCAAAGAAGCATCCTCAAGTAATTTCAGGTAATTATTATGAGTATAAATGCATCACATTTCTAAAATGTTAATGAAAGTAATATCTTTAAATTATATTAACTTACAGTGTGGACTTGAGGCTATTAAGGGAGGAAATAAACAGTTATTTTTTAAACTAGAAACATAAGAGCCATTTGACCTTCATTTAAAAATTCATAGGTCTAGGGGCGCCTGGGTGGCTTAGTCGGTTAAGCGGCCGGCTTTCGCTTAGGCCATGATCTCGCGGTTCGTGGGTTCAAGCCCCGCGTCGGGCTCTGTGCTGACTGCCAGCTCAGAGCCTGGAGCCTGTTTCAGTCTGTGACTCCCTCTCTCTCTGACCGTCACTCCCCTGCTCACGCTGTCTCTCTCTCTCTCCTAGAAATAAATAAAAATATTAAAAAAAAAAAATTCATAGGTCTATTGTCTGCTTATTTTTTTTCTTTGATTTTCATAAACTGAGATTGAACTTTTATTTCTTACTAAGGAGATGGTGAGGAATTTGAGTTGGAACAGAATAGATTTAGGGGACAGGTAATTACATGTGCAAGTTCTCTGAGTTGGTTTTACTGTATTTGCTTACATGTGAAGATTTAAAGCAGAAAGTGAATGTCTATCTCTAGGAACAGAGGTATACAGGTAATGAGCATAATATGTCTGTCCAAATTTGAGGATCTAGAAAATACATGCATGTATCCAGGTGGTCCCCGACTTCAGATGGTTCAACTTAATGATATTCTTACTTTATGATAGTGTGAAAACAATAAGCATTTAGTAGAAACTACTTCGAATTTTGGATTTTGATCTTTTCCCCTGGCTAACGCCGTGCGGCACACTACTCTCTGGTGCTGTTGCGCAATGGCGACAACCTGTAGTTCCTAGTCAGCCATGCGATTAGGGTCAACAACCCACACGCTTACAACCATTCGCTTTCAGTACAGTATTCAGTCAGTTACTTGAGATACTCAACACTGTATTGTAAAATAGGCATCAGGTGATTTTATGCAGCTGTAGGCTAATGTAAGTGAGCACATGTAAGGTAGGCGAGGCTAAGCTATAATGTTCAGCAGACTAGGTGAATTAAATGCATCTTTGACTTAGGATTGTTTCAATTTACAACTGATGAGTTTATCAGACATAACTTTATCATAAGTCAGGGAAGATCTGTAATTTTAGAGATGTATTGCCTACTATATTTCTTCTGACTTCAATTTTTACATAATTGATTTATAATTTTACATAATTGATTTATAAATGAATTCTTATTATAATGAAAGCATTTGGCCAGAGTCACTCTCCTCTTTTCATTATACTTTCTTCTCTAGAGGTAACAGTTATGATCATTTAATGTGTATACATTTAAATCCTTACTCTATGAATTTTCATAGCTGTATATGTACTATAAATCTATAAATATCTAATACTTCTTGAAGGGCTTTTTTTTTTAAACACGAAAGGCACACTAAACACACTGCTATGTAATTTACTTTTGGAGCTCTTTACATATTAATCCCCACTGAGCCACCTTGTTTTTCTTTGCTGTATGTTATTCTTTTTAAAAATCAATATACTACAATTTACCTAGCTAGTCTTCTACTGGTAGACTTTAAATTTCTAAACAATGACGAAATCAATAGGCATATTTGTGATTGCATAGGCTCATTTTCTGTTGTTTCCAGGGTGGAGGGGGTAGTTTTAAGACCTAGAATATCTACATTTCAAATTTTATTTTTATAAAATTTTTTTTATGTTTTATTTATTTCTGAGAGAGAGAGAGAGACAGCATGAACAGGGGAGAGTCAGAGAGAGAGGGAGATACAGAATCTGAAACAGCCTCCAGGCTCTGAGCTAGCCATCAGCACAGAGCCTGACATGGGGCTCGAACCCACAAACTGTGAGATCATGACCTGAGCTGAAGTCAGACACTTAACTGACTGAGCCACCCAGGCACCCCTACATTTCAAATTTTAATGAATACTTCCAAATTGCACTGTAAGATGGCTATATCAGATTATATTGCCATTAGTTGCAGAATTCAGTTACCTTACCTCCATGCTAACACCACAAATTTTTGCCAGTCTGATAGACTAAAACAAATTTTATTTGCATTTCCCTGGTTGCTTGAGAGGCTAAACATATTTTTGTATATTTTTGGACCATGTATAATTTATGTCTTATGAATAGTTTCTTTCTAACTTATAATTTTGATCTGTTACTGTTACTGTTAAATACTATAGAATACTATCATTCTAAACTTTCCCTTTTTCTAATATTAAAAGAATTTCTAACAATCCATTTTAAATCAAGATAGTTTAATTTGCTTATCAATGACTTTAAGTGAACTGCAGTTGCCATAAGAAAATTTCTAGCCTTATTTAATTGGATTTAGCATATCTTTTCTTTTAAACCTATGTCATTTTCTGCTTTTCTCCTTTAATTAGTCTTACTGAATTAAGAACAAGATACTTTACTTATTTCAAAATTAGGTGATTTCAACACCCTATACTGTTTTTCTCTTTGTTTACCCCCCTCTAATAATCTTAATTAAGTTGCTTTAGTTTTGTTAGGTGTCATGGAATTGTTGGTGAGGGTTTTGTTTTTGTTTTTGTTTTTGGGTAAGCCTTCATTAGTTTAAGAAATACCATACCTTGTCTTTATATTCTCATTAAGGAGATCTAACAGGGCGTAAAAAGCCTTTAAAAAAAGAAAACCCATTACTGTTTTTTTTATTTTTATATATTCTTATGTTTTTTATTTATTTTTGAGAGACAGAGAGAGACAGAGAGAGCAGGGGAGGGTCAGAGAAAGAGGGAGATACAGAATCCAAAGACAAGCTCCAGGCTCTAAACTAGCTGTCGGTACAGAGCCTGACGCGGGACTCAAACCCAGGAGGCGTGAGATCATGACCTGAGCTGAAGTTGGACGCTTAACCGACTGAGCCACCCAGGCGCCCCCATTACTGTTTTTTAAGGAAGGGAAACAAAAAACCTTTATTGTTATCTTTTATTACAAATTATAATCTATTCACATACCCATCTCAGGAATATAGATTGTTTACAATTTATAAATAATTTTAAATTAAGGCTTTTGTAGCACAACCTAACTATAGAAAATACTTTTTTTTACTTTGCATAAATAATTTATTAGAAAAAGCTATTTTTCAGCTTTAGTAGAAATAAGGTGTCCCAAATATATTTCTTGTAAAAATAATAGAAACTTAACATTGTTCATTAAAATATTTCATGGTCTCTAAGAGGAGAAAGAGAAAAGTTAGTTACAAATGAGTTATGTATTTCCTGGGTGGGAGTATTAAGGAGGTATAAAATTCTTGAGTATTTGAAACACAAATTTAAATTTAAAAATGTTGAGACACAAAGGTGGCTCAGTAGCTGGTTAAACATCTGATTTTTTATTTTGGCTCAGGCCATGATCTCATGGTCTTCAGTTTGAGCTCTGCCTTGGGCTCTGTGCTGACAGTGCAGAGCCTGCTTGGGATTCTTTGCGTGTGTGTGTCTCTCTCTGCCCCTCCCCTGCTCGCACTCTCTCTCTCAAAATAAATTGATAAATAAAAACTTTAAAACAATTAACAAAGTAAATAATATTTTTATTTAAAAAAGTACTGTTAAAACTCATTTATCCCAAAGTACAGATGGTAAACAGAGGAGGAAATCTCTACTGCCAACAAGTATTTATGTTTATGTATATTAGATCTTGATTAATTTTAATCCTTGACTAACATTCAATCACAAATTCACTTTATTGTTTTATATTACCATTTCTGCAGAACCTACTTATTTAGTCCTTGTTCACTCAGTCTGTTTTTAAAATAGAAGGATCACTTGTTCTCTATTTCTCATGCATGTTTTTATTTATTTTTTATTTATTTATTTGTTTGTTTGTTTTTTACAGAGAGAGAGAGAACACAAGGAAGGGGCAGAAAGAAAGGTAGACAGAATCCCAAGCAGGCTCCACTCTGTGAGCAAAGTCTGTTGGGGGTCTAGGACTCACTAGTTGTGAGATCATGATCTGAGCCAAAACCGAGTCCGATGCTCAACCAACAGAGCCACCCAGGCACCCCTCGCATGCATGTTTTTTTTTTTTTTTAATTTATTTATTTCTAGGAGAGAGAGAGAGAGACAGCGTGAGCAGAGGAGGGTCAGAGAGAGAGGGAGTCACAGACTGAAACAGGCTCCAGGCTCCGAGCTGGCAGTCAGCACAGAGCCCGATGCGGGGCTTGAACCCACGAACCGCGAGATCATGACCTAAGCGAAAGTCGGACGCTTAACCGACTAAGCCACCCAGGCGCCCCTCGCATGCATGTTTTTAAAAGACAGCAAATGGGACACCTGGCTGGCTCAGTTCGTTGAGTGTCCAACTTCGGCTCAGGTCATGATCTCATGGTCTGTGGGTTCGAGCCCTGCATTGGGCTCTGTGCTGACAGCTAGCTCAGAGCCTGGAGCCTGCTTCTAAGTCTGTGTCTCCCTCTCTCTCTGCCCCTCCCCTGCGTGTGCTCTGTCTCTGCCTTTCAAAAATAAATAAACAGGAGTGCCTGGGTGGCTTAGTCGGTTAAGCGTCCGACTTTCACTTAGGTCATGATCTCGCGGTTCGACCCCACGTCGGGCTCTGTGCTGACTGCCAGCTCAGAGCCTGGAGCCTATTTCAGAGTCTATGTCTCCCTCTCTCTCTGACCCTCCCTTGCTCATGCTGTCTCTCTCTCTCTCTCTTAGAAAAAAAATAAATAAATAAAAATAAGTAAATAAATAAACATTAAAAAAATAATAATAAAAAAGAAAAGACAGCAAACATCGTATCCTAAGCACTTTCAGAGTGAAAGGCACTTTACAATGAACTATTACCAAGTCCCTTAGAGAACCTCTGGTGTTTGAAAAAGATCCAACTCTTGCCTAATTTTGCCGATCTCATTAGACAATTAAAATGGTATTTCCACTGAAGGTTGTTATTTTGAAACATATTATGACTTCAAAATTATTTAGAGAGTCACATAGATTTCTCTGACCCTTTCTTGCCTGTATTAATGGGCCTCTATTTTCTTTGAGTATTACCTGACCACTTCTATAGCTTACTTCCATCTTTCAACTCCTCTCATTAAAAACTTAATGACTGTGTTTCTCCCTGTTCTGTGCTGGGACCCTGGGAGTAGATCTGTGGAGGAAGGAGGGTAGTGGCTGAGATCATTTCTTCCCTTTGACCACAATACAATTCAAGCTACTTATTTAAATAGCTTATTGTTCTCTTAATGAATTAAAAAAAGCAAATGAATGAACAGACTGAATCAGATGTTTTATGTTCTCTCTTAAATAACAAACTAAAAAATTATGATTTTTTTACAGATGTGATTCTCAGTAGCATCTTCCTATAGAATGAAATTAATCATATTTAAGATAACTTAGTGGAAATAGTCTACTTAATGTCAGAGATTAAAATAGTGATTTAATCCAGCAAAAGTTCTTCCAGCAAAGATTTTCATAAGCCTCCGAATCCTATGTTCGCAGTAATATTTTCTGACTGCGATTATGAGTAACTGATTCATAAAATAACTAATGCCTGAATACAGGGATGTTTTTCACACATTGCATTACTGCATTAACAGCCTATAAATCTTAGAAATTATTTGTTTTCTTCTTTTCTCATTTCTAATGGAAATAAAGCCAAGTCCTCTAAGATATTAAGAAATCTAGGGGCGCCTGGGTGGCTTAGCCGGTTAAGCGTCCGACTTTCGCTTAGGTCATGATCTCGCGGTTCGTGGGTTCGAGCCCCGCGTCGGGCTCTGTGCTGACTACCAGCTCAGAGCCTGGAGCCTGTTTCAGAGTCTGTGACTCCCTCTCTCTCTGATCCTCCCCTGCTCACGCTGTCTCTCTCTCTATCTCCTAGAAATAAATAAAACATTAAAAAAAATTTTTAAAAAAGAAATCTAAGAATATCTAAAGTAGTGACTCTTATTTTGCTTATATGTATTAGATACATCATATCAGAGGCTTAAAAAGGCCTGAAATGTGTACTAAACTCATCACCATTAAATTCTAATTCATGAAACAAAATGTTTAAATAATTTTGGGGATAGTTTGACCTAAGATTTCAAATTGTGAAGAGATTTCCTAAGGTGATTAAGTATTTCTTTATCATCATCAGTCACTTCACTAGTCTTTTAAGGAGAATGTTTCACAGTCAGTACTATTTTACAGGCCATTCCACAGAGGAAGAAATCAAATTATCTTTTCTAGAAACACTAAAAGATGCCTGCAGCAAGTCTGATGAAGTGTCATATGGTGAATTTGAAGATTACTATGAAGGTCTAAGTATAGGGATAGTAAGTGACGAAGATTTTGTTAATATCTTACGTACTCCATGGGGGATTTAGTTTTTCAAAATGAGTGTGTCTTCAGCATGAAGCATTTTAAAGAAGAGATGAAGTCATTGTAAAATATGGTCAAACACTGGAATATGTTCTTCTAGGACTTCTTTTTTTTTCCTTTCAAAAAGATTGAGTCTGGAAAGAGAAATCAGAAAGATAGACGAAGGGGTATATGTACGTTCATGTGCATGTATGAGTGCTTGCCTGTCTCTAAGTTTGTAAAGCCCAGTATTTTTTATTTATTATTTATCTTCAATGGATTTTAAAGGTCATTTTTAAGTAGGCTTCATAGGAAAGTTACATCTTCATTAAACTATGTGGGAGTATCTGTACAGTAACCAAGTTACTCAATCCAATGTTTTGTTTTGTCTTGTTTTGTTTTTTTGCTACCTGTTCCCCAAAATATGATTGCCAGCACTCTCAATCTGATTGATTGGAATTGAACCCAAAGTCTGTAAGACTTCAAATAGTTCAGCTTGTTTCAAACTTACGAAAATGTTAAAGGAATTAAAGGATATGCAAGAGAAATCTTCCCTGTGGTGTAATCATAGATGTTTTCTGTAACATAAATATTTAGAATGATGGAGGCTTACCCCTAAAATGCTTATTTAAACACTGACTTGTGAATTCTTCTAAGTCATGTGCTGGGTTTTTTTTTGTCCAGTTGAGCACAATGTAATTATTTGAATGATCAAATGTAATTATTTGAGTGATCAGCTCTGTTCTTCTTTTATTCTATTTTTAACTGTAATCCTTATTATCTACACAGAATTACTAGTTAGCTAGAAACAGTGCAAAATGGGAGGGGGAACGTTTTCTGAGATTTTTAAATAAAGATCTCAAAAAGTGCACTATCACACGTATGGACTAAGGGATAATTTAGTAATTCTGAACAAAATGTAAAAGGATGTTCATGTCCTAAAATGAATGTATGTTATTCTAAACACCTCCTTTTGTTATACTAAAACAATTGAAACATTTTCTTCTCAAAAGATATTATTTAATGATTAGGTGTGTGGTAATTATCCTTTCTAAATTCTTCTTCACTTCTCCTCACTTCTGCTTGGAAATACAGGGAGAAGAGAGAACTATGTTCTTTCCAAGTTCAATAAATCATTCTGCATTTACCTTACTGTCTGCCTTGTTCTTTGATTTTGGTATAATAAAATCCATTATTTAGTATTCAGTTTAATAGGAGAGCTTTTAGTTACATAGTTATATTTTCAAACATTGACAATATAATAACTGACTTTTGGAATTCTTAACAGTCTTCGAGTCTAAAATATCTCTTGATAAACTTTAAAATATTAAATATGAAATTATATGTTGTGGTGGTGTTACTTGCATTTTAAACCAAGTATATTTCATCATTCTCCAGATCTTTCAAAGATCTTTCCTTGTTTGTGGCATAAAGCTGCTTTCCCAATAGCAATACTGTTTATTCAATTCTGTATATTCATTTTAGTGTCTCTACTCTTATTAATAAAGTTCTATAGAATTTTTGGGAAAACACATTGTTTTTAGAAAACAAGGGATATTATTTAGGAATTTTGATCTATATTTTAATTAGGAAAGAATATACATTTGAATGATGGAGCAACTAGAGTATAAGATAGGTAAAAGTGTATGTTCCTGTTTTAAATGTTTTAGTATATGAACATGTGTTCTTAATGAACCAGGGACTGCGCAGGTAAAGTGACTTATAATAATCCATAGGTTTGACATAGCTATAAGACACGTTTTGTTAATTTCTTTGGATTTCCAGTCAAAGTTGTTGTGAGTTACTTCAGGAGAGAATTGTGTACAATAGGCTGTGCTTACTGCCCAGTTTTTAGCACGCATATATACGTGAGATTTTAGTTTATAGTCCTGGCGTAAATAAAATATGTACTGTGATAAACTGTAGTCACCACTAGTTTGGCCAGCAAGGACGAAAATCTATAGTGAAAGTGCTTGAAAAAGTAGAAGGAACCGAACATGTATAACAAGCCAAGCAAGAGAAGAGCAGTGAGAATTTGGTGGGTTGACAGGGAAGTGTTAGTATCTGATAAGGAGATAACGCTCCTGTTATAGCCTTCCGTTTTTATTTTATGGCTCTACAAACTTGTAAGGAAAACATTTTTTGGGGTGTCTTCATATAATAAAGAATAAATGCCCCATCATAGAGCCACTGTTCATTTGATCATGACCTCATTCAGTCAGCCATGTATAATATGATTGACCCTTAAAGAGGTTAGAGGTGCTGGTGCCCCTGCAGTCAAAAATCCACCTATAACTTTTGATTCCCCCAAAACTTGAGTACCAATAACCTACTGTTGACTAGAACCCTTACTGATAACATAGTCAGCTAATACATATCTTATATGTTATATGTATTATATGTTACATTATTACAGTAAAGTAAGCTAGAGAAAATGTTATTAAAATCATTTTTGGTACCAGGGCCCCTGGGTGGCTCAGTCAGCTGAGTGTAAGACTTTGGCTCAGGTCATGATCTCGCAGTTTGTGAGTTTGAATCCCACATCAGGGCTGAGCCCACTTTGCATCCTCTGTCCTCCTCTCTCTCTGCCCCTCCCCCACTTGTGCACATGCTCTCTCTCTCTCTCTCAAAAATAAACATTTAAAAATATGAATATAGTTTTCAGTACTGTATCCAAAAAAAATGTGCATGTAAGTGGACTTGCACTGATCAAACCCATATTGTTACGGATCTCCGTAGCACTAATCTATTAAATTGCCCAAAGCTCTCAGACAGTCTAGATTTTTCTCACGCTTTGTGTATCCACTTGGTCTCAAGTCCTTTGGTTTCTTACTTTCGAATTTATCCCTTTCACTATTCTCAATGCCTATTCCTTTGGTCAAGCTCTTACCACTTTTCATGTGTTATTACCCTCACATCAACTCTGCCTCCTCTCCGATCCTACCCATGCTACACATTGCTTCTAGAATGATCTTTCTCAAATGTACTTTACTTCCATGAATAAAGTTCTTCCATGGTATCCCCTACCTTTAAGAGAAGTTCAAACTCCTCACCTCCACACAGACAACCTAAATAATCTGGTCTTCCCGAGCTGATCTCCCTTTTCGCAGTTCATTCTCTTTGTTTCCCCCAGCCATTCAGAGCTACTTACAGTTTTTAAACAGGATTATGAGGTTTTAATTTTTTTTTAATGTTTATGTTGAGAGGGAGAGAGAGAGCACAAGAGGGGAGGGACAGAGAGGGAGGGAGAGAGAAAGAATCCAAGCAAGCTCCGCTGTCAGCAGAGCCCGACACGGGCTCGAACCCAAAAACTGTGAGATCATGACCTGAGCTGAAACGAAGAGTCAGATGCTTAACTGACTGAGCCACCCAGGTGCCCCTGGATTGTGAGGTTTTAAACCTCTGTGCCTTCAGAACTGGTCCGCTTTCGTCTAACATTGTTTCTTCCATTAGTGCCTCTAAATCAACTCATACCATTTTCTAATACTAACCATCACTGCAGGAAAGCTAAAGCCAAGAAACTCTGGATCTGATATACTTGCCCTTCTTTGGATCCCATTGGTACCCTTGTATGCACTGTTACTCCAGCATTTATCACTTCATACTATAGTTATTACTTTGCTTATGTTTCTCCCATTGTATTCTAAGCTTCTTGAGTATAAGAACTATATGTTATTTCACTTTATGACCCTGGTATCTAATGGAAAGTGTCTGACGTGTGGAAGATGTTAAATCAAAATTTGCTAAGTAGATACATGTGTGGTTTAAAGCAACAATTGTTATGGTTCTTACATTTGAATACTTTTGCATTAAAAAGACTGTAGCATAGAGGGACACCTGTGTGGCTCAGTCTGTTGAATGTCTGACTTCAGCTCAGGCCAAAATTTCATGGTTTGTGAGTTTGAGCCCCATGTCTGGCTCACTGCTGTCAGCCTGTTGGTGCAGAGCCTGCTTGGGGTCCTCTGTCTTCCTCTCTCTGTCTCTTCCCCACTTGCTCTCTCTTTCTCAGAAAATAAATAAAACATTTTAAAAAATGGGGCCCCTGGGTGGCTCAGTCTGTTGGGCGTCCAACTTCGGCTCAGGTCATGATCTCACAGTCCATGAGTTCGAGCCCTGTGTCTGGCTTTGTGCTGACGGCTCAGAGCCTAGAGCCTCTTTTGGATTCTGTGTCCCCCCCCCCCCCCCCCGCATCATGCTCTGTCTCGCTCTGTCTCTCAAAAATAAATCTTAGGGACGCCTGGGTGGCTCAGTCAGTTAAGCGTCCAACTTCGGCTCAGGTCATGATCTCACGGTTCATGGGTGTGAGCCCCGCGTCTGGCTCTGTGCTGACAACTAGCTCAGAGCCTGGAGCCTCCTTCAGATTCTGTATCTCTCTCTGACCCTTTCCTACTTATTCTGTCTCTCTCTCAGAAATTAAAAAAAAAAAATTAAAAAAAAATAAATGTTAACAAATAATAAAAAATAAAACACTGTAGCATAGTCTATTACATAGTACGAATGTACAGTTTAGTGCAAGCTTCAATTATAGGGGCAGTCAGTCTCCCAAATAAAGAATGCACAGGCTGGAGGCTGTTCAGTTATCACTTTATCCACGAGGCCTCACTACTTGAGGGGCTAAGATATTCACTTCAACATTAGAATTCACTCAAACTCTGATGCTTACATAACTCCTAAGCACAATAGGTTTTATCCATAAAACAGTGTATTGTTGGATCTTTAAGTGGTCTTGTGTCCACCTGCGGAGTAGAACAACTTTCTGGTTGCCCTACTTATACGGTAAGCAGATCCCGCCCCTTGCCTGTTGCTGCTGCTGCTGCTGCTGCTTCCGGGGAGCCTGCCTTTGTGCTCTGTGCTGATTGGAGCTCCCAAAGCGACACACTGCCGAGATTTCACTGAGCTCACAGAATAGATTGTGGAATCTCTTAATGCCTCCTTGCAAAGAAATGCTTGTTTAATAAATATGTGTGTGTGTGTGTGTGTGTGTGTGTGTGTGTACAGAATTTGGTCTGAAATTTATTTCATTATAACTGGGTAGTAAGGTTAGGAGGAATAGCTAATTCTCACCGACCTCAAAGACTTTTGGCTGCAGAGGGGTATCACAATTAACTATGATTAAAAAAAACTATTAGTTGGGCACAACAAAAATTAGCTATTCCTAATACAGTCGTCAGTTCTCAGCTTCAATTCTCAATCAGATAGCGCATCACAGACCCAAATATGGCATGGAATAATGCTTGAAGTAGTAGACTTAAACATTTAAATGTCCCTAGGGTGCCTGGGTGGCT